ATAAAAAGATTTTGTCTTTTAGTTGCACTGTGAAGTGTTAAAGCGATGGCTCTACAATCATATTTCAAATCTGTATACATGTAATTAATTCAAAAAAGAAATACCCCACTTAATATGTGCCATAAAAGCCCATTAAAAGGTAAATACAAAATGTGATTCATAAAAGGTCCATCAAAGTTATACAATAATCCATACATGTGCCAAATAACAGTGTCTGTGTTCAGTGTCTTTTTGAGAGTTTTTATTATATCTTATGTGTCTCTTCATACTTATTTGATCTCACAAAATGTGTTTTTCATTTTCATTAACATTTACAGTTTTGATCCTCTTAAAGTGTTATCTAGGGGAGTTGAATGGTCATTTAATGAAAACAGTCAATATTAAAGCTGTCTGTTAGGAGGTGGAATATAGCCTGAATTCAAGCAAATTCAAAATCTAACTAACATCTTAACAATTATTAATTGGGAGGATAATTTAATAACTTTTATGATATTTTCCAAATGGTCTTAGGCCCCAAACATCATTAATAAAACAAGTAGAAGGGATCACCCGCCTTTGTTATTCATATTTACAAAACCCAATTCAGGAGGAGAGGAACTAATGACATAGTCCAACATAAATCCACAGTCCCTAATCATTTTCTTCAAAGTTAGTCTTATACAATCAAGCGGTTTTATCAGTTGATGTTTTTATTCAATACCTGCAAACCCAAGGCCAACATATTCAAGAAGATCGCTGTATGTATTCAGAAACACCAAAGAAACCATGACCCTATGTCACTGCTTTGGAAGGAGTTTGCTTGTAATATCTGCAGCGAATTCTTCCGTGAAAGAAAATATGTGTGTAAGAAGTAGACGCCTTTAAAAGCTGACTTCCCGTCGCCTTTAGTAAAAGCGCTTATGCAGGTACAATTTCCAGACTCAATATTACACGCTGCAGAAGGAGAAGCGGTTGTTGTTCATTACAGATTAAAATGATATGCTTCTGATGTGTTGCAAACAGATAACATAACCCACCCTTTTTTAATTACATTTCCTTGATGAGTTGATTAACTGAAACTCAAACGCTACTTTTACTGGGGACTCGCAGAAGTGTTTTATTTCCGCTATTGTTTGCATAGCTGTACTATCTTAACTATCTCACCCTGTACGGAAAACACTAAAACGTTTCATTAAATATATTACGTCAAAGAATTTCACATAACTGTATTAGGTTAGTTGAAAGCATTAATATTAAGTTTAAATAGGTTCAACTTGATATTATTGCTTTCAACTAACCTAATACAGTTATGTGACATTTGCTGACATAATACATTTAATTAAAGTCAACGTTTCAGTTTTTCAGTGTGGACTCTAAACATGTCTTATGCAAAGTCTGCCATCACCATTTTTTCACAATTTTGATTTCACCATCTCAGATTGTGACGCCACAGTTACTCAATAGGCCGTTTTGTAAATGAGAACGAAAAAAAAAGCGCCCATCTTCACAGGAGAGCCAACATGACAAATGCAATAGTTAAGCTAACCTTTTGGAGGAAGTACTTGATGGTGATGGTGTTTTTCTAATTATTTTGTATAGTAACATATGGGGAAGTGATATGAATTAATATAAGTAATTATCTTTGTTTCCTCAGCTGCCTTCACAGAACCATATGTGTGTTACCTGCTGGATGGCATCCTGTTTTTGTACGGCATTATCCTGACGGCGCTCTACTGTAGAATCAAGGTTTGAATGATATACACTTGCCTTTACACACACATTTATACTGTATCAGTGGCGGTTCTAGACTTATTTCACTGGGGGGGCCAGGATGGGGCCAATACTTTTAATGAGAGGGGCACATTTAATGCAGGAAGAAGGAGATTTTAAGTCAAAGCACATGTAAAAAAACATAAAATACCATTATTGGTGTTTGATTTAGTAACAGAGTACCGGTCAATGACTTACTAGAATTCTTATTTTTTATTTTGTTGTTACTTTGTCCCAAGATACCGAACATTAAAAGAAGTTTGGGGTAATAAATACATGATTTATTCAGCCAAACTCTGTTTTTAGCTTATTTCTTAATATTTGTTTCAGTCACAACATTTTAACAGTAACTCAGTTTCAACTCATTAAAATGACATATCCCAGGTTACAGCACAGTAACTTAGTATTGCACATTAATTGCATTATCGAAGATTTATTCTTTTGGAGGGAGGCCACAGGGGGGTCAAAGCTCCGTGTAACTAGCCACTAGAACCACCCATGCTGTACATCAGAATGATTTAATATGGAACAACAGATTATATTTTGAACTGAATGAACAAGATGTAGTGTCATCTAAGTCATCTGGTACATTATGGATATAACATAGGGTGTCATCAGCAACATGACGCATGCTTCACATTCAGAAAGGGAGAACAAGTATCAATCACATTTAGAATACAGAATACATACAGAATATATGCTGATGTAGTGGCATACAACACTTCTATTTTTTTTATTGTGGCAGATTAATGTTTTGCTACCGAAATAAGACTTCTTTGCTTTCGACACCTAATGTACCAAGAGCGCTATTTAGAGCGACTAAACAACTGTTAATGGACGGTGAAACTACAGTGTGACGTGTCTCTCACTAATGTAACTCTGTCTATGAAGGTCAACAATGCGAGGCTGGCTAAAGCTAAGATCGGCAAGCCGGCCAAGAAGGTAAGAATACACACACACACACACACACACACACACACACACACACACACACACACACACACACACACACACACACACACACACACACACACACACACACTGTACATGTGTGATTGAAATTGATGACTCATCGTGTGAAATAAATGTTCAGAACACAATTAACCACAGCACTTACTGGAGTTTCAGTGAACAACTAGACACAGAGCTTCTGTGGAGGCAAAAATAAACGTAACTGGTCACGTCTAACCTCAGTAGGCAAACAGCGATAGGAAACACACACCTATGGTTTTTTCTGCGGCCCCACACTTGCAGCTGTGTGCGGCCAGATAAGCTAAATTGCTAAGCATGCAGAGATAGAGCTTTTCACACTCAACCTCAACCTCATTGCATTATATAAATAAACTGGAGATACATTGCACACTTGGTACATTATATTGTACTTAAACACATTTCTTTGTTTTATATTGTTTTTTATTGTGTCTAGTGTTGATAGCATACACTGTATATATAGGTTTTACAGTTTAGGCTGATGTATACAAAGTGTGTGTTTTTGCAATGCCTGATAACATGCTGCTGAAAAGAGCGCGCTACCTGCTGTTTGACTGCTTTACTTATTTAAGTGTATTATTTCCTATTACCAACCGCAAACCTGCCTCGACACACACAAACACACACTCTGAAGTGTACAGATCTGGTGTGTGGAGCTTTCCTGGCACGCATGTAGCTTGTTCTTCCTCTTTACAAAGATGTGTAAAGAGACGTTTATGTAGTCGTGGCCAAAGAAAGACACTGTGTGTTTTCTTTTGAGTTATTTAGTATTAAATATGTCTAATATTGCTGTTTTTCCTCCCTGACAGAGTCCTGAAGAGAGCGTCTACACGGTACGTTGTGATTCTGTGATGATGTAAAGTAAATGAGGGATTGCTGAATCCTTAAAAAATACTTTGATACTATATTTATATTTATATGTATATTTTCCCACTCTTTTTTTCCTTCCAGGGGTTGACTCCCCACGCCACGGACACGTATGAGACTATTGGGCAGAAGAAGTGATTCAATAAGCGAGAGACAGATGCCATTCTTCTACATCTTTTATATATATTTAAATTTAGCATATCTAACCCTGCTTTTATTTTTGAGAGAATGTGAGAATGCGTGCAGTGTTCATTTCCCTTTTGCTATTTTTTTCGAATGTTATAAAAAAGGACGACACAGAAACAGGGAAGTTCAGCTGAAGATGGGCAACTGTTTACGCCTGTTTTGTTTCTTGCACATTCTTGCATTTTTAAACTGTTATGCTTCCGACACATTATGTACAAAAACTCAAATTAAATGAATGTTACATTTTGTCTTTAAACTGTCCAACGATCTATCGCTTTGAGGCCATCTGTAAGGCATCTTATATAGGAGAGCCAAATATCTCGAAAGATGGTGTGAGTGAATACATTTAAAGCCATTTTCAAGCCTGAGATACTGAGCAGTGTTACCTGTACACCACAGGATGGCAGTGACACACACACACACACACACACACACACACACACACACACACACACACACACACACACACACACACACACACACACGCACACACAGACACACACACACACTCTTCTTTCACAGACTGTTTTGTATGCAAAGTGCTGCCTGTAGGATGCATAGAGCTGTTGTATGAATAAAATAAATGTGAACTTGCTCATTACATAATGTTGTCTCTCTTTGAATTACAGTTGATAATTAGATATTACGTTTTGAAGGGAGTGGTAAACCTCCAGTCGTCATAAGGTAAACAACCACAAACAGAAATGAAAATGATCATTTTCTCACTTTGGTTTGGCAACGTACAGTTTGTATGAGGCTGCAAAAGATTTATGTCTGAAAAGCCATTTAGTTAGATTTAAAAAAATAGGTTTCCGAAGTGTTGTGGTCATGTGGGGGAAAACAATGCAGGACAAACCATCTACAAAGTAGGTATGTCCTGTGTATTCCTGTTTTTCAGATTATGGAATTCTTTTCTGGGGTGTTAACTAGGATTATATCCCTTTTAAATGTAATGGCTTAATTTGTTTTTCTCCTTTGGGAGGAGGCAGCTTTTGTCTTGGTGTCAGCCTTGTATAAAATCCAGCCTTTAAACTGCCACTCCGTGTCTTCTTTCACCTGCCTGATCAGAGCAAGTAAAGACGAGAAAATAACTGTCATGTACAAACCGGATTGGTGACTTCTGATGCAAACGTGTGTGTGTGTGTGCAGGAGTGGGAAGGTGTGTGTGTGTCAGAGAGAGAGAGAGAGGGGTGTAGCTCAACAGGTGTATAGGTGTAACAGGTTAAGCTGCGCCTTCTTTTTCTCTAAAGAGCAATCATTATGGCATGGGCTTGATAAACCAACACGTTATCAAACTGAAAGGATTTTTATTTGACTTTATAAGCAGTTTAAACGCTAACATTTCTCACCCAGGACAGGACTTTGGGAGGGATTAAGGATGGAGTCATGAGTCTGCCTCAGTGCTACATGCATGACTGTGTTTAGGATACCTTCTCCTGGACTGATGATCTTTATTTCAACGCTGATATTGTCCCAGCTTGTGCACAGTTAACAGTATCTGCCGAGGAGAATGACATCTCTGCTGAACACACTGTCTCTGTGTCTCTGTGTCCTCCGGATCTGTGGTAAGAATCTGTGGCTTTTCAATGGCGTCTGTAAAAAGTGATATCATGCAGAAGTATAGTATTATTTTAAAACCTCATAGTCTGGTGTCAGATATGATATGCCAAAGCGTGACCTTATTAGAGGCTTTATCTCCTAAATGATTGTGTGACCTTTAGTGTTCTTGTGTATGAAAGATGACCTACAGTATGTCATGTTTATTTACAAGTTAAGTTCTGTATGCTCTGGGCAGGGGAGCAGCTTGTAGACTTAGTGCCGTTAAAGAAAACACATGTCTGACATTTCTGGATAAACAGGTTGCTGTTGATCAGCCCCCCCCCCACCCCCCCCCCCCACCCCCCCCCCCCCCCCCCCCCCCCTCCTGCCTGATTCACAGGAACTGCATGGACCCTCCTTGTGTGTGGCTTAAGCCTAAATGTGTGTGTACATGCTGTAAATGCAGTAGTTATCTGTCAGCCTGGAAAATACTTTCTACTGCATTGTTTACAGTACATGTATTATGTACCAGTTGATCAGCCCATTATTCTTCAAAAAGGTGCCACAATTAAAAAACTGTCAAACAATCATAAGATAACATCATAGATACTAGTATTTTTTTTTTTATTTAACCTTTATTTAACCAGATAAAAACATTGAGATAAAATCTCATTTTCAATGGTGACCTGGCCAAGAAGGCAGCAACGTTACACATAACACATAACACATAACACAAACATATAAAATACAGAGAACATAACTAAGAAAACAAAAGACGAAAAAGCAGTCACTACATTGTGCACATTAGGACAATAAAAAAAGTACACTACTTGTTACTGCAAGAGCAGCTGGTGGTGAGGACTTCAGACAACTTCAATTTAAAACATGATATAGAGTGCCCTCAGTTTAAGGCGTGATTGAAGGTCATTCCAAGACCAAGGACCATAATAAGAAAGACTCCTTTTTCCAGCCTCAGTCCGTACAGTAGGAACCTGGAACCGTATCCAGGCACTGGATCTGAGGTTGTAAGAGTCGCAAACTGGGGCAAATCTGACACAATAGGTCGCGAATAGTAATACAAATCAATCCAATACAAAAAAGCAGGTGTGTTATTCCAGTAATGCGGCACAGGCAGATTTCAATGTATGGCTTAAAGCTCCAGGTGAAACACACACACACACACACACACACACACACACACACACACACACACACACACACACACACACACACACACACACACACGCATTTTCATGGAAAAACACACCTGTCTGCACAGTACACTCATCAGTTCTGCTGGTAAAAGCATGAATCACGTCCAACCTGCTGACATTACTAAACAGATTCCTACACATTAGGTGCTCAGTGTGGATCAACAGAATTATGTGTGACCGACAGTATACGGTTCAAAATCACGTGTCATGTTCACACATTACATCAAAGTGTCATCAAAACTGCACTAAGACTAGGTTTGTGCTAACACAGGAAACAACTGTGCCGAAATGTTTTCATGTTCTCGCATTCAATTAACTGCTGTAACTTCACATTCTATGTATTACCCTCATTGCGTTTTCAGCTATTCTTTTTATATTTTGTAACAGGTCAACAGGTCAAAATGAAATTTGACAGATGTTTTGATTTATGATCAAATGACAGCAAAACTGAAGACAATCCCATCGACTTCAGCTAGAACTTCATGTTCAGCACTGATTAGCAAATGTTAGCATGCTAACACGCTAACACTTATTTAGCTCAAAGCACTGCTGTGGCTGCAAGGGCGACTTCAGCTACTGCGTTTCCGTCTACTTCTTTTCATATGCTTTTTCAATTTGTGAGTGATAAAAGCATGAGTTGAAAAGCCAAAAATGTTAAAGATTCAATCATTTTGCAGATTTTTTCAAAGTTGGTTAAAATGTGCAATACATTGGAATGTAAACTTTAACTAAACTAAGAGTAGTTATCTTGCAACAATGCTACCAGCTATGCTAGCAACTGAACGGTGACTTTGAGATGTAGATCTTGGTATAACATTAGTGAAATTGAAAATGAAGTGAAACTGTTTAATTAAATCGCAAACAGCGGGAATAGTGATCTGAGAAAAATGCTCTAAACGTCTTATTTTGACTGATTAGCTCATTGTAGTGATAAAAACACCCACCATATTGAATTTCAGCTTAGAAACACATGGTCTGTCGTGTTGTGGATTTAAATATCACCTGCTGAAATATGCCAGCTGTTCTCCTTCATTCTCACAATCAGGAAATGGCACCTTCTAAATGAGATTCCCTCACCAGCAACACAAGCCTGATGCCAAGAGCAACAAGATAATAGCACATTGTGATGATGTCCGGCAGTGGCTCAGTCAGTATCGGGGCTTGGACTGTGAGCCGTAGGGTCGTCGGTTCAAGTCCCCGACCAGACCTAAATATGGAGTTTGGACTTCTACTTGGAGAGGTCCCAGTTCACCTCCTGCTCTGCCGTGGTGCCCTTGAGCAAGGCACCGGTCACTCCCATTGCTCCCCGGGCGCTGTACAATAGCTGCCCACTGCTCCTAGTACTAGACTCCTGGTCAGTGGCGTAACTATCGACGGTGCAACGCACTGGGGCCCAGAGCTGACCAGGGGCCCATACAAAAAAAGAAATTAAAAAATATATATATTTTCTTTTTACATTTTTTTTTTTGGGGCATTGACCGGTTCACGCAGTCTTCAAAGTAACCAAGCAACCTAAATTAATTTGTAATTTGTCTGTCCAATGACCTTGCTCCCTTTCATGTCATGTGATACCTTGCGTGACGAGCGAACCGTTTAATCAACCTGTACTGTACTGTAGCTAGCAGCAGCAAGTTCGGTAGCATTATAAAACATGTAATAGCTTGCATTTATAATGTACAGCAAACCAAAGTACAAGAGCGGCGCTCAAAAGAGAAATGACAAGAGAGAATGTATGTCTGTGCGTGTGTGAGCGCATCAGCGTGCGCTTATGTTTGGGGCGATGGGGGGGGGGGCAAAACAATATTTGCACCGGGGCCAATCACAACCTTTACCCCACTGCTCCTGGTATTAGGATGGGTTCAAAGCAGAGAACACATGTCACTGTGTATGCTGTGTGCTCTGCATGTGATAACCTGTCCATTGTTTTATCTTAGCATAGGCAGACATTACACTTATTTGCATATGCAGAACTTTTCGGTATTCAATTTGAGTGCCAAGAGAAACTTCCCTCTGAGAGATACAAACCCAATCTTCCTTTTTACCCATACATCTTGTGCTTGGTCTCCATAAAAACATGAGGAGAGAAAAGCAGAAAAACACAATGCATGCTGGCCTTTATGGTGTGGCACACACATTATGCAGCGTCTGTTTTTCATGTCTTGCACATTTCCTGAGGCCTTGAACGTCTCGCTCTGTCCAGACACTGAGGTAACCCTCTATTAGTTTGCTTTGAAAGCTTATCTCGAACAACTAGTTAGGCAACATATCTTCACTGGTGCTTCAACTGATAGACTCCTTGTTCTCGCTCGACTTCCTCCACTCTGTCTTCACTCTGTGTGGACTCTGTGAACCCCCCCCCCACCCCCCGTGCTCCTCCTATATTGAAATGCAACCGTTGAGTCTGATTTCACATGATCCATATTGCACACATTAAACCTTTTTGACCCAAGGCCAGAACACTATGAAACTGTACCTCGTGAAAACACAGTGCCACTGAAACTTTGAAACATAAAGAAACTAGATATATGAAGCCACAGCCAGCAGCCATGTAACAGTCTGGAACGTAGCCATGCGTGCTGTCTTTAAACTTAGGTACAATTTAAGTATAAATCACCACAGTGTAGAAATACTACACATTTTACTTCATTTTTTTAAGAAATGTTGTAATTGTCCCATTGCATCATTTATTTGTTGATTATATTTTTTGTATTGCTAATCTGAATCTGAAACACAACCAAAGGTATCAGATGTAGTAGAGTATTTACCTCTGCGATGAAGTAGAGTAGGAGTGTAAAGTAACTAAAAAGATGCAAACACTCAATCAAAATACAAGTATCTCAACAGTTGGTATATGTATTTCAAAAGTTAATAAGCTGCTGACTGTAGCTTCCTTTGCAGTGGAGACATATGAGAGAAATCTGAGAAAATCTACAATTATAACCAAATAGAAGCTTGGAACAAAATGATAGTCATTTTCTTTTTAATTCACTCTGCAAAGCCTAAATAGCAACAGACAAGAAGCATATGGCTTTAGTGACAGCCAAGATAAATAAGTATGGCTAGACCACATTCTTCGTGGGAAACGCACACTTCTGTAACATTAGCTTCTGCCGCGTATATACCAACTCTCTTTTCAAATGGAAAATAAGCAGAATAACTGTTTAGTTAGTGTGTATAACAGCAACTAGGGCTTTTTCCTGACCTTATCTTTGAACTATTGCAATTATAAACAACTACAGGTTCAGGTTGGAGGTCAAAGGTCAGGGATCTGTTAGAGCAGGTATTTAACATTTAACTCATACTGACACGAGCCACTTGCACAAGCAGTTGTTTGTCATTCACTCAGATGTTAATACTCACCCCCCCTCTCCTCCTTTACATACAGTGATACAGGGAGACTTTCTGGATCCTCCTACAGAAGAACCCATCCTCTCTTTGTCAGAGAAGGAGACCGTCCTTCCCTGCCGCTACCAACTGTTGCCCGGCGACACCGTGGTGCAGGTCACATGGTACAAGGAGAAGCCAGATGCCACCAAGGACCAGATCGTCACTGCACACCACACTAATGGACAGACAGGTGGGCGCCTAGATCATGCTAACAAATATTTAAGATTTAACTTCCCCTTTCCTCACAGTGAGAAACTCTCCTATCATGGTTTTCCAACTCATAAGTGGAACAGAGCTTTAAGCCAGGTGTTCACCACAATCTGATGAATGAGAAACTGACTGTGATATCACAGATTCTGCTCTTTGCACCGTTTATTTTTGAATCTTGCACCCATTGTGAGTGTGAGACATGCTGGATGAGACTGTGAGCTAAACGCCCAGAATGTTAATGTAATTTCTTGCAAGAGCGCGTGCATCATGTGTATGGAACTGAAAGTGACAAAAGAAAGCCTGGGGTCTGTTTTCAACTTGCTGGGCTTAATTATTTGTGTCACATGGTCAGTTAACACTTTCTGACTCTCTCCCTCTTTTCTTTCCCTCTGCAGCGTTTGGAGCGTGGTCTCAACGTGTGCGCTTTCAAAGCAGTGAACCCACCGTGGACTCGTCTCTGGTCATCATGAGCACCGAGGTCTCAGATGAGGGGAAATATCTGTGCCGCATCATCACCTATCCCTCTGGAAACTTTGACACAGAGATGTCACTCACCGTGTGGAGTGAGTCCCTTCAAATGGTCAAATACACAAAATAAAATCAGCTTAGAAGTCTCTTTCTGCTGGAAAACACATATTGCAAAATACATTGCATGACAATTACATGACTAACTGTTTTGTTGTTTTATTTTCAATATTGCACAACTAAATTCACATAGTAAAGAGATATTGAGCTTTACTACATGACTAATAAGGAAGTAAATATGACACAATAAACATACTCACTTATTATCTTATTTCAGTGAGTTGAAATACACAAGTTACAACCCTTATAAGGTAATAAACTCCAGGTCAGGAAGCAAAATGTGATTTATATAGGAGTCACGGGACTTTTATGTTTGTGGGAAAATAAGCAACAAAAACTGTTAAAGTTAGGAAAGAAAGCTAAATTGTTTATTATTCAGGTAATATAACCACTTAATTTAACAGTCCTGTTAAGCAGGACATATGACATCACTATTCTCTACCTGAGCCCACTACAGACTAATAAGAAAAACACAGAGTCACTAAAGTCATGTTAAACCGCCAAAACGGTTTTAAATCTTATGGAAAACTGTCTTTCTGTCAAATTGCAAGATTTTTTAAAGCACCTTTAGATCTCTCTCTAAGTCTATGTGTGCATTCCACTCTAACTATTCAGTGTGCTGACTTATCATTATCTTCCATCTGATCAAACATTGTAACAATTCCCCCCCCAGCCATTCCCATCTCCTCCTTGGACCCTGTGATCCTGGTGGAGGGCCAGTCCTACCGGCAGGCCGCTTCCTGTCGCTCTGTGGCCCGCCCGCCTCCCCGCCTCTCCTGGGAAACCGACCTGAATGGCCAGTCCACCAATCGCACCTCCGATAACGGGGCCGTCACCTCGCACTACTCCCTACACCCCCTCAGGAACATGAATGGCAAGAGGCTGGACTGTATAGTGTGGCATCCGACTCTAAAGGGCACCCGCAAGATCAGAAACAAGCTGGTGGTGCACTGTGAGTATTCATCAGCACTACACAGAGGCAGTGTTACATTAAAGGTCACCTATTATGCAAAATCCACTTGTTCATGTCTTTTATACATAAACATGTGTCCCCTCTGTGTAAAGAGATTCTGAAAGTTTCAGGAAAAAAGATTCTCTCTCTTTTTGTCCTGATCCATTTATATAGAAACCTGTCTGAAAATGAGCTGATCAGGTTTTGGCCACTTTATGATGTCATGACGACATGGCTTGTGTAACCATTAGCCAATAACCAACCAAGGTAACCCCCCCCCACCTTATCACCTGAATCTCCTCTTTTTAACCAAATATCTCTCAGAGGGGCGTGGGGAGTGGCTCCTTATTTTCATCTAAGGCCACATTTACACGAGAACGAAACGGCTTGTATCTGCATAGTTTCTCTTACGTATAGCCCTATTATTTACACGAGGCCGTAACAAACGGACCCCACAAACGATAACGGGTCCCAAGGTGGATAGATTTGCAAACGAAACTCTCTGGGGGGTCAAACGAGTCCGTGTAATCGCCTCTATACGAATATTTCCTGAAAAAATAACGATAGCCCCACCTCTCCCCACCTCTCCCCACCTCTGCTGCTCACTGCTGTAGCATGGCCAGTAGCTACTGCTAGTGCTACTGCTACTGACCATGCTACAGATGTTAGTACAACATCTACAGCTCGACCATGCTACAGATGTTAGTGCAAAATCTACAGCTCCTCTACCACAACCATCAGCAACAAGTGGACATGGAGAATTACATGAACTACTACATGTTGCTAAATCCACCGCGGGGCATAAACAGAAGGGTAGCCATGGCAACATTGCTCCGGGCCATGCTCCGGGGTCTTCTTCGCTGCTTTTGGTGTATTTTGTGGCGGAAGTTACAGCGCCACTTACAGTCCCGGCATATGTACTACAGCGTTTCCAGCGGTCTCGTTTGAACAGACACGTTAAATGAAACGAATGCATGTGAACGGAAGACTTTTTTGAAAGCGCATACTGTGCATAAACGCAAACGTTCCCGTGTAAAAGCAGCCTAAAGTAACAGACAGATAATCAGCACTTTTGAAACAGGGCTGAAACAGAGGGGATTATGGGATGCTACAATGGGTGATCTGTTGGGTATTTCAGCCAAACACTTCAGAGACATGTTCTGTATATATCTGAGACCTATAATATATTGATGAAAAACAGTATAATAGGGAACCTTTAAAAACACACACATGGTGAAAAACATGTAAAGAACATCTACAAAAAAAAATTGTTTCGACATTGGGAGACATTTAATAGCTTAACTTCCTGTTTTATATATGTCTTTTTTAATCCGGAAGATACTAGATAAGCACTGTAAAGCTTTTACACTCCACATTTATCTATTCGTTTGATTTGCAGTGCCCGCATTTCTTCAGCTTATCACATTTCCTTTCCTCAAAGATGTTCAAGGTGAAAAAACATTATCTTTTAAAGAATGTAGTTCCTCTTGTACCCTACGACATGATCATTCTGTGGTTGGTAACAGGATATGACTGAACTTTGGCTTTTGCGTTTTATTTTTAGCTTCCTGTGAAATGTTGCATTCATTGGAAGTATAGTCTTTCGTAATTGCATCAGCTTGAAGCTTGACCATTCAAATGTTTTTAATCCCTTCTAAAAACACTCTTCATAAACACGCTATTATTTGAATCCCTATGAGCAGAGGTGGGAAGTAGTGGAGTACAAATACTTCGTTACTGTACTTAAGTATCTTTTTCTGGTATCAGTACTTTACTCCACTACTTATTTTTCTGACGACTTTCTACTTTTACTTCTTACATTTTTAACACAAATACCTGTACTCTATACTTCTTACATTTTCAAAACAGGCTGGTTACTTACATTTTTATCTTTTTAAACATTACCATAATAATTGTTGTGTTGTTACCAAGGAAGAGGTAGATTCACCCTACAATCTACAAAGTAGCCTAGGCGTTTGTTTTCCCTGTCCCCACTTCTTCTTTGCTTGTGTTCTAAGTGGTGGTTGTTCAGTGTTGAAACATTCATTAGCTAACAATGACATTTTTACAATTTGAAATAGAAGATATTTAATGCTCTATTAATATAAAGTGAGGTCCAGTTACCAGTTACTCTATAAAACAGTTGGTAGTTATGGGTACTTTTTACTTGAGTACATTTCGAAGCCAGTAAAGTACTTCTTTACTTTTACTTGAGTAAAGAAGTTTAGTCAGTACTTCAACTTTTACCAGAGTATTTTTAAACACGAGTATCTGTACTTCTACTTGACTAAAGGATGTGTTTACTTTTGCCATCTCTGCCTATGAGTATATTTTGTAATATCTTTATCTGCTTTTCATTGAATCTCTGTTTGTGTATTTATGTTCTTCTTCTCCTCCTCCTCCTCTCAGACCCTCCAGATGCAGAGGTGTCTGGCTTCGCTGAAGACTGGTTGGAGGGTTTGGAGAATGCTGCCCTGAGGTGTGTGAGCGGAGGAAACCCCAAACCACACAGCTTCACCTGGCTCAGGTACAGAAGGCCTGCCTCCCTCTGGCTGTCTGGAAGTCGTGTGACTAACTGTCTGATGTGTCTGGTCACTGTTACTTTTCCCATAACTCATACCAATTATTTCACTATAATTTTCCCAGTGGGTTGTACAAATGTTTCCAGGTCATCCTCAGGCAAATGTGAAAGTAAAAATGCCTCCATGTGACCAGGATGTTTTTATGATCTCGCCTGCTCTTCTTAACTCTCTCACAGAGCAAGTCATATAAAGCACATTGACATACACTGTAAATATAGGCTCAGGGAAACAAATTCAACTTTTCAATTACCTATTTAAAAAAAATAATTGTAATATTAAACAATAAGTAAACAATGTTAGTTGAAGCAATAGGGCAGAAAGCATAGAATCAAATTTGCCCTCCCGTGAATTATTCAACCTTTTTGATCAAAGGCCTAATTTTAAATAGCTACAAACTTTATGATAAATATGTTTTAAAACAAATATTTAAAATAATATTTTCAAGGTAAGGATTTACCGAAGTCCTGTGCAGGGGCTGAAATAATAATACATACCAGGAAAGAGATAAGAAGTGTCATACAAGTAAATATGACACTACAAACCTATATAATGATTTTAAAGAAATAACAAAAGACCATGTTTTTAATTATATTGTCGAAATGGTATTTTGATATAGGTTTGTTTAGTCTGTTTATAAAATATTCCTAAACTTTGATTTGAATTATTGATATGATACGGACAAGACAGATAGAATAGGATAAGAGTAGTTTGCCAGATTCATAAACGAGCCATGAGATGTATTTGTCTTACAGATACTGAGGAGGTCTATACAGATACCGGCTGATTAGACTGTATGTCAAATACAATGTAGTCCTGTTTCTTCACCATCCTTTCCACATGACCTAATCAGAGTCCCAGCGTTGTCACTTCCTGTGTCCATGCGTGGTTTTAAACTCAGACGAGGGTTTGACTGAGATTCCTCACTTCTTCTGCTTGAGTCACCTGGTGTCATCTTTAAGCCGTTTCATGAACTGAATCAATATATTCTCAGGGTGTGGCATAGAGTTTGGCTCAAAAGTGTGAGCCACAAAATGACTGTAAGTCTCTCATGGAAGTATGAGAAGTGACAGTTTTGCCCCAGGGAGAAATTCCTTACCAACAGATGGGGCATAGGTATCTTCAATTTAAAGAATATTATGTAAACAAGTTTGGTGTGGTTTGAAGTGATTTTGTGCCAGGTGATGTTTAACTTACCTTTCATTGTTAGTCACAGGAACACACCTCAAAGATTTGGTTTTTGAGTAAGGCTTACTAGACTCACACCTGATTGAGCATGTACACACACATACACAGGGCCATGACAGCACTCTGAATCTCTAGTTACAAGGAAACCTCTCTTCCACACGCATTTCTCAGACACACACGCACGCACGCACACACGCACGCACGCACGCACGCACACACACACACACACACACACACACACACACAAACACACACACACACACACACACACACAGATGACTGCAGCACTGGGCAAACCTGTTGGCTTTGTCAATAAAAGGCGGCAGGTGAAGTAATAGCTGCTGTCACAGTGTCCTGTTGCGGCTTGTGCCGAGAGCAGACAGATGAGATGGTTTCACACGAAGGAGGGAGGAAGGGGGGATGAAAGGAAAAGGGAAAGGGATGATCGGCCCGAACAAGAGAGGTGAAATGGGGCAGCAGGTAGCACAGGGGTTGGGGTGAGAGGAGGAGGAAGAAGAAGACAGATGTGTGGATTTGATCAAGATGTTATCAGATGTTATGTACAAACACAGAGTTCATATTTCCTGCTTGTAGAAAGGGTGAGTGTAATGTGAACAGGTTTGTTTCACTGCATGTGTTCCTATAGTTGGAATACACCCAGTATTTCTGAGGCAATGTTCACATGTTGTTAAAGTTCACAGCAATAGGCAGACAAAAAGGTAAAGTCTGTTCAAACGGATTCAATTAAATGTGCTCAAAACAACAACACCGAGGCAACACCCTGGAGTCGCTCATCAGCACATCGCCCTGAGTCACACTGCCAGGAAATACCTTTGTATTTCCCAATCCCAACAATTAAAAGTCCACAGTGTCGGCTATCGGGGATCTATTGGTAGAAATGGGATAGTAGATGCTTTTTTATTAGAGTATATTAACCCAATGCCTTCTGTTTTGGTTCCCTTATGAGCCCTTTCATATCTTCATACTGTAGATAGGAAGTGGGTCCTGTTCACGCTGTCGGCCATGTTGCTTGCCATGTTTCTACAGTAGCCCCAAAGGGACAAATCAGGATTCAGAGAGTGCCTTACGTGGCTTTATTTTACCTCAAGGCCAAACAAACAAAAAGAGCAATTTAATGGAAATGAATGCAGATTCTGATAACCTATGTAACTGAACAATCACACAAAAGCAACTTAACATCATTTAAAAAAAATGGTTTCACAGTAAGTTTGAAATAAACAGCAGATTTTGTGGCCGAAACCTGACCAACTATAAACAAACATTAACTTTATGAGGGACTGTGTGAGTGATTGTATAAAAAGGGGTCATGTCTTTTTTGTTTTGTTGAATAAGTGGCTTACTTTTTGGGGGGATAGTGAGGTTGTATCCAGTATTCAGCACCCTACCTCATCGTAGTATTTGTTCTCTAACATTAAAAGCTACTCTGCGAAATATAGTGAGAGATACAGAGGTGGGAAGTAGTGCAGTACAAATACTTCATTACTGTACTTAAGTACATTTTTCCTGGCAGTGTGACTCAGGGTAATGTGTCAGTGCTTTACTCCACTACTTATTTTTCTGACGACTTTTTACTTTTCCTTCTTACATTTTTAACACAAATACCTGTACTTTCTACTTCTTACATTTTCCAAACAGGCTGGTTACTTTAGTTTTAATCTGTGTTTGGTGGCGTGATCATTATTATTTAGAGTCGTTGCGTGCCTATTGATTTGAACTCGATCCGTGTATCCATCATTTCCTGGTCTTCTCTTAAGAAGAGGGACCAATGAAAACTTTGTCATTTTGCCGTTGTTCAGCATGGAACATTATTGTTCTATTAATATAAAGGGAGGCCATGTTACTCTATAAAACAGTTGGTAGTTACTTTTTACTTAAGCACATTTCGAAGCCAACACTTTACTTTTACTTGAGTAAAGAAGTTTAGTCAGTACTTCTACTTTTAACAGAGTATTTTCAAACACCAGTATCTGTACTTCTGCTTGAGTAAAGGATGTGTGTACTTTTGCCATCTCTGAAGAGATGTTGCAATTCTTAAAAAGGGAACTCAGATCATCACATGACCAAGATAATAAAGTAAGGGGTCCATATGTTGATATAAATGCACTATAACTCTGTTTTGTCTTCTTTACAGAGTTGGGGGAGAGTTGCCGGAGGGAGTTATCCTCCACCCTAATGGAACACTAGTTTTTGGGCGACCCCTTAGCTCGTCAGATAAAGGCATCTACCAGTGTGTGGCGGAAAACGACGTGGGAGTGGGGAAGGCGGAGGTGGAGATTACTGTGGGAGGTACATGACAACAAAGTAATTACAACACTTACAATGAGAATACATGTACGCATCCATCTAATCCCCCCCCGACCTCTTTTGCAGACTCCCCCCAGGAGCCGAGCTTGTTTGAGAAAATGCCAATGATCTTCATCGGGGGCGCGGCGGGGGGGCTGCTGATCCTGATGCTTATCGTCATCATCTGTGTCACTTGTCATCACAAACGGAAGAACAGGAAGCTGGAGAGGGAGCTGACTCAGAAGAAGTATGTTGGGATTTTGTAATTAAGATGAGATAAAATGAGATGATACATTAATGATATCCTCAGGGAAGATTACGTCAATAAGAATAACTAAGAGTGGAGTTACTCAGGGCTACTGACCATATTAGCACTGACAGTTAGACAACATGTGTCAAATTAAGTAATACATGAGTGTGCTGGATGTGGAAAATAACAGCAAAGATGTTATAACATGCTGTAAAATCTTAAAATGCTCAAAAATATGGATGATCCACAGTCTATTTCTTAAATCATTTAAATATCTTCTTGTTCCCTTTTTTCTTGCAGGGAGGAAATAAACACTCTGGCGAGGGTTGCTTCTATCAGGAGGATGAACTCTGTCAGCACAGATGCCAGAGGAGCGGTACTATTACTGAATTATTCTTTATACACTGAGCACTGCAGCATCATGTTGGGTTTTATCCTTTGTGTGCACGACCTGATTCAGGATTGCTGGTCCCATATGTTTCACATAATCATTTATGCAGGGATTCTCATTCAGAATTTATACTGAGATGAATTATAATGCAGTCAGTCAAATGATAATATCTCGTCTGTCGCTCATCTTGCCCTACCTACAAGTGAGGGAAGTTTGGAAAAGGTTTTATGTTAGTTGCACAGACTTTTCACTCATCTAATCCAGCTCTCTGTTTCCTTTCAGACGGAGGAAAACATCCCTCTGAGGGTGGGGGGGACCCTAAGGACCAGCCTGTCTTCCCTCGGGGTCAGTCTACGTTTTACATTTCAAATCTGAATGTAGTGCATCTCGGATAATAATAATAACGATAACCCTTTAAAAACCTTTCTGCTACTTTAATGCTCCTCTTTCTTGGGACCTTTTGTTTAATGGGTGGCTTTTTAAATGTCTACACTACAGTGAGGCAAGCAAAGAAGCATATCTCCAAAAATGTCAAACCTACCCTTTAATGTCGTCTATGTGTCATGTGATTCTGCTGACCTCACCCATGGTGTTCTGCACAAAGTTATTCCAGTTAATCCTTTAGTTTTATATAGTAGCTGTAATTAAAAGCCTTATACACCCACGTGTTAAAGGTCCCATGTCATGCTTTCCGGTTATTACCCATCCCCTTGTGTGTTATGTAGCTTGTTATGCATGTAAACGGTCTGCAAAGTCACAAACCCTCAAAGTACAACCTGTAGCGAGTAAAACTCTAACACAGAAAATACCTGTCTATGCTGCCCAAGAACGCCTTGTTGGAGATTTCTCTTTTTCCATTTTTTTCTTCCTGAGTATGGTGACGTAACGAGTATATTGACGTAACGGCTCCGCGGAGCTCCTCACACACACACACACACTCACTCAGCCTTATATTTTCTCAGCCGCGGATTTCCGCACACACACACACACACTCACAGCCTGGCTGTGAGTGTGTGTGTGTGCTCAGGCTGAGTTCCGCGGTGTCTCGCTGTCTCGCAGACCCCACGCAGCAACCAGGAAACGACACCAGTAATCCAGCTCACACTGTCCGCTCCTCGATCCTCAAAGGGCAGAGCAGCGAGCCCTGCAACGTCCCGCCAACACGGCACCCAGACCCCACGCAGCATTCTCATCTGTTTGTCATTACTGGTGTCATTTTCTGGTTGCTAACAAACGCCATTGTAACGGTGGTGGACTCATCAGAACAGAGTGGGCGAGCTGACCAATCAGAGCACAGTGGGCTCATAGGGAGGGGGGGGGGGGGGCAGGAGCTCCAACAAGCCGTTTAGGACAGAGAGTGAATACACATACTATACAGAGATGCTGTATGAGAAACCAATGTGAGTTTGGAACATTGAACAATGTAAATCTATTCTAGTAGACCTCAACAATGGAATTATGATCAGTAGTAATGGCCATGTCATGGGACCTTGTTAAAATTTAAATGATTAAATGATAGAACCTTATAATATTTTAAAGCTCTTGCATTTTTTTGAATTATTCTACTTGATTTATTTTTATACTGGGAAGAACAATACAATTTGTTGTTCATTTGAAAAACTTTTTTTTTTATTCAAACCAAAGTGAATTAATAAATGTTTTTTTCTTGCTCTGACATTATTTAGAAATTAGAGATCCATTACAGTGTTACATGATATTTCAAGATATGCAAGAAAGCAAACTAACATATTATTGCTTTAATTAATTTGAAATGAAAAAAGAAATCTCAGAATGACTATTTCAAATCAATCTTTAGAACAAAAGTGTCTACAGTTTAAACAAAGGGTGCAGAATATGAATTGGTGAATGAGTGAAACTGATCACCGTGTGTTTCCGTGCCGACAGGAGCAGGCCCACTGCCGTGACAGCCGCTCGACTATCTCTATTGGACGGAGTGGAATGGGAGCGTACGACTACCTAGGCAGACCAGTCCTAAACAACAACTCTCGGAGGGGAAGAGAAAGGATTCTGGATAGAGACGAGGAGAACCGTCTCAGAGTGGAGTCATACGTGAGAAACAGCAGTATTTCTTTAGTAAGTGTGTCTTTGTGTATGCGTATTTCTGGGCAAGTCAAAACACGATTTAACCAAATTGTGGAATGCATCTGAGCAAGCTTATTAGCCTCTGCATACTTACCTAATGCTGATGAAGTTTGTCTGTTTTTTTCATCAGGAAACTCGATTTCACCCTCCTCTCACGCCTTCAGCCTTCCCAATCCTTCAGTCCACTGAGATTGTGAGACAGCTGAACGGCAGCGCCATCATCCCACCAGACGGGGGTTCACGGCCAGGAAGTGTCTCCAAAAACCACCAGCACCCTCCTCCGAACTACAACTACCCTCGGGTAACAGATGATGAGGATGAAGTGGACGAAGGTTTGGGAGGTCCTGCCAGTCAGGAGCACCCCGATGACCAAGACAGCGAGACAAACAGCTCCCAGGTGTCCGAGGCCCACAGTGCTCTCTATCAGCAGACTAACGGCACAATCAGACCTAAACCCAGGCCCACTGGGATCAGTCCCCATGCCTCCCTGATCCACAAGGCCCAGATAGTTTAGCAGGCAGCTGGGAATGAACATGTGGAACTTCAAGACTTGTCAGCTCTGGTCTTGGAACAGATTCAAAGGCACAATCCTGAGAAACAACATCTGCATCTTGACTACAATGCTGCTTCTTCTATTGTGCATGATGCAATACAATAAACTCTTAAGAGGAATTATTTGCAGCATCTACTGGACATATCGGATTGCTGGCTGATGTTTGGTGATCAACAAGTGTGTTCCTGGAACTATTGGCACAAACAAAGACTATGTCGCAATATTTCCAGTAAAGCTTCTACAGCGTTTAATCGCAGACAATATTTTGTGTTCCCATTTCGCAATACAGTATCTGGTGCTCTATGACGGACAGGTGATTGCAGTTGACATACCTTTGAGGGGGATGTTAAAAGAACTCAAGGACATGTACAGTAGAACAAATAAATAAGGAAATGCAAGAGAAGTAGAGGAGGCCGTGGGGAAGTTGGTAAATCAGAAGATTGCAACACTTCTGTACGGAGGGTGGTTGATGCCATAGTGGTGCTCAGTGTTTCACTAACCGTGCCTGGGTTAAGTTTCCTTACACAACACGGTTTGGGAGCCGATCCAAACCATGGGGTTGTTCCTTCTTTGCCACACCTGCACCATGCATACCTCCTAATTGTCTTGGATGTCATTAAGTCAAAACATGACTCATTAATGTGGTGATTTGGTGACCTGTAAATCTGTACAAAAATGCAAATAAATTCTGTTACAATTTTTTTAAATACGTTTTAAATTTAAATCATCTGTACAGTAAATAAGCAAACACAACTAGCAGATAAATAACCAGTACAACCTGCTCCTGATCCAGCTGGAACAGCTGCTATGTTTTTGTAAAATCCATTTTAAATTTTTCAACTGAGTGTGCTTTTGTGGATACTAATAGAGGAGAACATGTTCCACAACCTTGGACATACTGTATCTGTTCCTTGAAAGGTTTCTTCGGTGTTCCAGATACTGCCTTGCATGCAAGAACAACTTGAGATGAAACGGTACAGCTTTTTAATATTTTGGCAAAACCAAGCCTGTATTACTAAACTCTAGATGAGCAATAGTAGATACATTTTGTAAATATTGGGCTCTGTTACAACCCTGACATGGGAAGAAATGTGCCAAAGGGAAAATATAGAAAAATCTATTTGCTTAATTGGCAAATATGAAGTATTATTTGTTTCTTCACGTATATGTATTACATTGTTATGTTTAGTTTATTTTACCTTAAGAATTTGAGACCGTTTGTTGCAAAAACAATGTGCCATATATTATTTGCTCACACCTGATATAGGTTAAAGCAAATGAATGGTGTTATGTGTGAATGTAGGCTGTATTTGTAGTGAACATTGCCCCCTGATGTGTACTGCTGGGAAGTGCAGGGAGCTGAATGAGCCTACTGCTAAACTACAGAACTATAAAAAGACTCTGCATTCCACTGTGATTATGAGAAATGATCTTCCTGGTCACTTGCCTGGACATTTGTTTATTTTAAGGGCTATGTTTGGGTATCAGATTGTATTGCGGGGTTGAAATAAATGTGCATTTTTTGTATGATGTTGATGCTAAAAAATTGTTTGGATCATATACATGTGCATTTACACTGATATTTATTCTAGTTTTGGGGGGAAATTGGATTTAGTTTGGGATTGAACTGCAAAGGACTAAATGAGCAGTATTCACAGGTTTCAAACTCATGATGCACAGTCTATCTATTCCCTCATTGTCATGTGATGCTTGGTGTGATGTTTGTGCTGCTAATTATTTAAAGAAAAGAGCAACATGGCATCAACTAAAAAAAGAATTGAAACTAGATTTTGAACATAACATGGCTCCTATAATGTATATGTTTAGTTTTGCCAATCCAACCATTACCAAAACAGATTGAGCAATTACAAATAAATAAAAATGAAAATACAGTTAACACACTCATCCAGGTTTTGCTTTAGTTGCATCACAATAAAAATAATGTAAAATAGGGAAGAATGGGAACAGTTGCAGCCCTTTTTGCATTTATCTCAGTTAATCAGAGACTATTCGGACTAGACCAACTAAAAGTGTATTTAAACTTAAACATGTGTTTTAATCACTCATACCATTTAAATATGAACATATATGACAGATTGTTCACATTAGAAAGGAATTATATTTAGATGTTTTCTTGACCCCAACCCGGGGACAGTTGTAACAAACATCAGGGATGTTTGCAACATACTTTAAATGTCACTGCTTAACTTTCACCTTTTGTCTCAATGAACATAGTATTCTTAAAATATGTATTGTTTTACATTAATATTATAATTATTTTATTTATACAATAATTAATAGCATTATTCATAGTCCAACTGATTGTTGTGACACTTTTTTTAAGCATTTACTGACATTCCATTATTTACGTAACAATCACTTTTGCATGTTCAAAAAAGCAATTTAAAATTGTATTTGGGTTGAATATCCTTGAAATCACCCCAAATATATATTTTTTCTTTCTTTATGATATTGTGTTGCCTATCATGACATGGCTCATTAGTTATGGGGACAACTTAGGCCACAAGTAAATAAGTAGCCAACTAGTTAAGTTTAAAAAGTAGGTTATTAGCAAACAAGACTGCTGATAGTTTGGTTTACTATCGGCAGTTTTGGCAAGAAAAGGTCTAATAACACCTAATTAAAAAAGTCAATCAACCAATCAAATAAAACTAACAGAAAATAAACAAACAAGACTGGACCGGAAGTGAGTAATGAATGAAGTCATGCAGAAGGAGGAAACAGATCTCGATAGCTAAGATGGCGGAGGAGCAGCAGGAATCATCACAGCCAGAGGTGGGGGGTGAGTGAAACAGTTGCAACACAAAATATACAACTAACAGTGTGGCCATTTCTCTTGCAAATGAAGCCCGAACCGATACGAGTGTCCGCTCGGCGTTTCAGCCGCTGTCCTCTCCGCGGGGCCGGGGGCTGGCATGGAGCGATGAGGCCACAGCTAGTTGGCTAATGTTAGCTAGCTACCATTGCTACACAAAGAGAAAACGCTTGTTTAGTTACTGTCATGGCAGCAATAAGTGGCAGTCCCACAATTTTTGACTTGGGGAAATGTTGAAAATGTATGCTCAATATTAGAAGACGGGACATCCCGTTTTTAGTAGCTAGAACAACCGTTTTTGTCGTGACTTGAATTTGTTTTGTTTTCGCTCGGGTCGAGTTAGCCATGTTGAGCTGGCTGACGTTAGCTGGTGTTCTCATTGAAGTGGTTTTATGTTAACTGCTGACTATGGCTGAATCCTCTGTGGTGACGACATGTCATACAAATAGGGAGAGACAATATAGCTGTCTTCGTGCATGCTTTTTACATTTTAAGTACATATCCATTTGATTATTGTTTTTATTTACGTCAGTGCAATGTTGATTTCACTAACCAGCATGGGGGGGAAAAGTACTCGGATCTAAAAGTAGAAGTACAAAAGTATATGAATACACTGTCAAAGTCAAAGTCCTGCATTCAAAATGTTACTTAAGAAAGGTACAAAAGTATTAGCATCAACATATACTTAAAGAACCAAAAGTAAAAGTACTCATTATGCAGATTGCCCCACTTCAGAATAATATAGGATGTGTTTTGATTATAATTAATGATGCATTAAAGTGTTATCAAAGCTGCTAAAGGTGCAGCTAGTTTTAATGACTTTGTATACATGTATATATTGTGTGTTTTGTTTAGCTATTCGCTTAGCACGTTCATTTTTGTAGACATCTAGCCTTGTTTAGCTAAATAATTAATTAGCTCTAACAATGCTTTCCTTAAAAAATCCTGCTGTTAGCATTGCATTTGTGGCATGTTCAATATGCAGCACTGATCTTGACAGCTATGTCTCCTCAGATTTTAACCTGACCAATTTTCTATCATGATATCCATTATTAACACTGGCCCTGATTTGATACAGATTTTTAAATCCAATTGCCAATCACCAGATTACATTTCAGCCATCATGGTGGCCTATCATTTCCCTTTTTAAAGTTTGTACTCTGAACGCCTAATTATTCTGTCCCCTTCTCTAAAAGGTGGAGTGAACTGCCTCGCATACGACGAGGCCATCATCGCTCAACAGGACAGAATTCAGCAGGAGGTGAGAAATCCATTTTCAATGAAGATCCAGAACAAAAAGTTTCCCATTCTATTCATATTCTTTAGAGTTCATAAAACCCAACTGATGCCTAAAATGTACTAATGTTCTAGTATTCACTGTTTTGGTCAGAAATAGAGGCACCCATGAGGGACGTTTTTCTAATGATCTATTTTGTGTGTGTGGGCTGTAGATAGCCAACAGTAACCCGTTAGTGTCGGACAGACAGGACCTGGCGGTGCTGCAGAGGGAGTACGCTGACGAGGACACAGTTTATCAGCTCAAGATCAAGGTCAGTCAAAGGTTACTGTACCTACTGAACAAAACTGTATGTCTATTGCATACTCAAATAGTCTGTGCACAGTTTTTGTAAAACTATTTTTTTGTTTTGTTGCAGGACCTACATAAAAAATACTCGTGCATTCGTAAGACGCGACCAGATGGGAACTGTTTCTACAGAGCCTTTGGCTTCGCACATCTCGAATCGCTGCTTGATGACAGCAAGGAACTTCAGAAGTGAGTGTCACAGTGGTTACTGTTTGTGCTATAGTCACGTTTGGTCACACTTTTGTTGTAGTGTTTGATAGCGTTACTTTAGCTAAAGAGAGAGTGGAAGCGAAGCACCCGTAGGTCATCGGAAGCAAAAACAGATTTTCTGCTAAAAGAATTATGGTCTGCTCTGTCAGGTGTTTTGTTGTCTGAGTGCGTAGCTCTTGGTCAGTTTGTCCTGTTTTCCTGTTTTCAATTCTACTTAAGATCTAACAAACACTATGATTGATGGCCCAAATTTCACAAGGTTTTTGAATACATGTTTTTGTCTCTTCAGGTTCAAAGCAGTTGCAACTAAAAGTAAACAGGACCTGGTTAATGAAGGCTTCACTGAGTTTACCATTGAAGACTTTCACAACACTGTGAGTGTCTTGTTCAAGAAAAATGACATTTCTTATTTATTTCTAACTGCTGAGCCAAGATGCAGATATTTCCCCTATATTATAAAGTAGCAGAAAGCATGATATTATTATTTTGTTTATTGAAGTGAACAGTAGTAACGGTTTATCTGATCAAAATTGTGACATTTTTGAATCTCGCATTAGGTATACTATAGCTATCATCTTTTTGGATTAAGTCTCTAATGATATGAATAATGTGTTTTCTCAAAGTTCATGGACCTGATCGATCTGTGTGAGAAACGGCCGACCCTGCAGGAAGTGCTGAACTCCTTCAACGACCAGAACGTGTCGGACTATTTGGTCGTTTACCTGCGGCTGCTCACCTCCGGCTACCTGCAGAGAGAGTACGGATTCTTTCAGCATTTCATCGAAGGAGGACGCTCTGTCAAGGAGTTCTGTCAGCAGGTTGGTTTTGAAAATGCTTTCTTTAGTGAACTTCACCAAAGAAAACGTCTAGTTAATGAGAAACAAATGTGGGTCTCATTATAGGGTCTCTAAATGATCATTTTAATAGAAAAGATGGGTTTAAAGGCATTTATGTACAAATTGAAATATGCTTTTTTTGCTTCAAAAAGTCAGCCATTCTTGGGTGAATAAGATAAGATATACTTTATTGATCCTTAATTTGAGAAATATTTTCATTACAGAAGCTTGTAAACAAGTCATTGCACATGATGGATGAAAAATGAGTAGGAAATGAACAAACCAAAAAGTAAAATATGTACATATTGACAGTGAAAGATATATATATATATATATATCTTTAAGGATGTGTCAGAAATGTTCTGAATCTATCCATTCCAGTTCTGCAAAAACAAACTCACAATAAACAAACTAATACCTGATTTAAATGTTTTCCTTTTTTTCAAAGGAGGTAGAGCCCATGTCTAAAGAAAGCGACCACATTCACATCATCGCCTTAGCCCAGGCCCTGGACATTTCCATCCTGGTGGAGTACATGGATAGAGGAGAGGGAGGAACAGTCAATCACCACGTCTTCCCTGAAGGAGGCGACCCACGCATCTTCCTCCTCTATAGACCTGGCCATTACGACATCTTGTACAAATAACACTCCTGGCCACAGCCCATCTCATCGTCTGGGTAAAAAAAAAATAACTTCAGCAGCCGCATTGATGAAGCATACATCTGTGTACGAGATTACACACATGTATTTGAAAAAAATTAAATATAAAGTCACATTACATGCCTCCCGTTCCCCTCTCGCCCCCAAACTCCCAAGTTTCTCCTCAGTCATCACAAAATGGTTAATTAAAAAAAAATCTTTGGAAAAATAGAAGTGAATTTAGAGTTGTACAGGTTTTTTTTTCTTTTGTGGTTGTAAATGTTATCTACTTGCTTTATGTTGGATTATTTTCCTTTGTTACACTGCGTTTCATTGAGTTTTATTAAAGGGATTTACATCTTATTTATTGTCATTATTTCTTGTGCAGTGCTTTTTTTCTAAGAGTCAGGTTGAACAAGGGCTGCAACAAATTATCATCAATTAATCACTTTTTCTCTCACCTTAAGAAATCTGAACAATACTTAACCTTGCTTTACATGTTAACTTCTGTAAACTTAAGGTAATCATTAAGCATCATCAAACTTTACAACCACACATTTGAGATCTTGGGGTTTCAGATTATGCATGGTTTCCCAGGGTAAATTAACAATAAGAGGTTTCATGCAGAAAAACTGCATTGCAAGTTAAGGTTCTAATTATTGACCTGCCTTCTACCCCTGACAGATCAGCTGTCCCCCATACTGATACAATAATGTGTTTATGTAGGTCTCACAGGGTTAAATTACAATTAATTAATAAACATTGTAAATATCCTGTCAATTACACCTCCAACTGTAAAAGAGACTTATTCTGAAGCAGTAGGACTATCTTCCTAATTCATGCAGGCACTCAAAGTGCACCATTAGAATAATAATGCTTAAAACAATCGGACAAATATAATAAAATAAAGGTATTGTAGCTGTAGGCCTACGATACTCTACCTGGAACATCCATCTAAACAGCTTAATAGGTTACATGGTTATTGGTGGATTTGTTTAATCAAACGCTTTAAATACAATAAATAAGGGTTTACTGAAGTTACTACAGGAAAACAGTTGCTTCTTTTTTATCATCAAAAATATGTGCTTTGTTTACATCACATGCGCAGTCGCGTCATTGCTGCATAAGCTAGTCAAATATCGTCTCTAAATCAACAGATGTCTCCTACTACTTTGTGTGGGTTGTTGGTACCAAGAAATATGGGCGGAGTGAGAGCTCTTTCTCTGGGGGAAGAGTAAGACAAGCAGGACTCTGACAGAAAATGTCTCCGCTAGCAAAGTCGCTGACAATGTCAGGAAGGAGGATAGCTGCAGCGTGGATACGGCATCACTCTGTTACAAGTGCGTTCAACGTTTAATTACTCATTTTAAGTGCATAAGGATTTAAATGTTTTGTATTGGTGTTGTGACATGAGAGACACATGATAGGGTCACTAGCAGTCAACAAGCTAGTTAGCGTTAGCCAAGGAAACAACTTGGTACAGGGAGTTAGAACTGTTGTATGTTAGTGGACGAGGTACCTTTTATTGATTTAGGAAGTTTTACTGAGTTGCAGGTTTGTGTACAAATGAATTCAAGAGTCGAGGGAATGTGACGTCACCAAAGGCAACTTGGTCATCTTCGGAGTATACCGGCGAACGCAACCTACAGCTAGCAGAGTAGCATATGTTTTCACTCAACACTTTTTAAAATTATGGTCAGTGGGCATTGTTGTGTCCTTGGCTGTAAGAGCCGACCCCACGACAAACGGCAACAAGAGAAGATGGACCATGGGATCAGGTTTTATTCGTTTGCCACATGGAAACTCTACGAGGGAGACCATGTAGAGAGACGCCAAGAGACGCCAGATGGCATGGGTGGCAGCTGCCTGTGAGAAAGAGAGACCTCACCTTTGACAACATACCCATGTCGGGTCGGCCAAGGTCTCCTCTGCATTTCCATACAGGTGAGTTTATCATGATCAGAGGAGGAAGAAGTACACTGATCTTAAGTAATAGAAGTACCAGAGTGTAAGAATCCAATTAAAAGTCCTGCAATCAAAATGTTACTCAAGTAAAAGTACACAAGTATGAGCAGCAAAATAAACGTATAAAGTACAAAAAGTAAAATTGTCAAAGCTGGTGTAGGTGGAGTTAATTTGAATTACTTTTTATACTGCAGGTTATCTTGTGAATTTTACTCCAGGTGTAACTAAAGTCTTATTTAAGTGTTTATATGTCACGTTAACAATCCAAACGTGCAAAGTAACTAAAGATATTATAAAATGTAGTGGTGTAAAAGTAAACTCTGAATTGTAGTGGGGTGAAAGTACAAATCAGCAAAAAATTGAAATACTCAAGTAAAAATATAAGTCGCTTAAAATTGTACTTAGGTGCAGTACAGTAAATGTACTTCGTTACTGTACACCACTGATCATGCTATACCAATTTAACTTGATGCTGTGTGTGTGTTCAATTCCATTCATCCTATTTCTTGGAAGCAAACCTAGTGTAACGTTACCAAGCTAACAAACATTATCCAGCGACAGCAACCTTACACAGAAGGTTACAACTTTTTTTCTCAGAAAGTTAATTTTCACCCTGCTGACAGTATGAATCCTTGATGTTTTTCAGGAACACCAGCATATGAAATGAAGGAGACAAAACCAGACTGGGCTCCATCTGTACGGCTGGGGCACTCAGAAGTCAAGGTATCAACGTGTGGACGTTTTGACAGAAGAGTCCACAAAGAGAAGAGGAAGCTACCACCCACAGTAGAGGAAAACCAAGAGCCCCCAGAAATCAAGGTTTTACTTGAAGACAGGGCCACAGAGGATCAAAAGCCCGAATGTGACTTTTGTAAGGTTCGGCAAGAGGAAATCAACCGCCTGCAGGAAGAAAACATTAGGCTGAGGTCGGAGCTAGAAAAGAGGAAGCTGGGTGAGAAGTTTCTGCAAGATGCTAATTCCTGAAATCAAAAACTTCACAGGACTGCCATGTTTTGCCATGTTTGCTATATCACGCCTCCTCAAACATCACAAATCAGCTACGATCCTGCGTCTAAGGCTGAATCTCCACGTCCAACACTTGGATCACCTCTTCTGTGTTGACAGAAAAACAATCTCCACCAGATTCAGAGACGCCATACATCTGTCTTATCCCTTTTGTTTAATATTTCAGAGAAAAATAGAGTACTTGCAGGGTACTATGCCACATCAGTTTGTGGAGCCTTTTGGAAATCTTGTTGCAGTCGTTTTAGGCTGGTCCCTTAATTTTGTCTGATTGTGGGTTTGATATAAGGGACTGAGTGCAGGACCTAAGAACAGACATAAGGTTTGACAATACCTTTAACATTCACTGGACATGGATGGTGTCATATTGGGTAGGTAGATGACATGAGACAATTTACTTGCTTATGTAGAAACTAGCATGTTATGTGCTGTGTTACTCAATGAGGCTGCATAGAATGATAGTTTCTCAGGTGTGTATCCATTGTGTAAGAGTGCCATCTGCTGACTGTTTACTGTAAGTGTCAAAAGAGGGGCACTAACATCAGTATCAGTGATCAAGATTATTTGACCATTCTTCTCTTAATTCATAAGATGTGTTGTCATTAATTTAATATTGTGAAATAATGCTCCTTTGACTTGTTCAAGAGCTTCTTTCTCCTCTTTTTCTTCTTTTGCCACGTACTTCATAATATTTTTGCACTTATACGTACTTAAAGCATTTTCTTACAAGCAGTGAGGACACATTTAATTAACGTATTTGTTACTAAGGTTAGTTCTAAATGCTAATGTTCACTTACTTACTCTCATGGTATAATCTCATCTGTGTTTCTCCTTAGCTGATCTCATTGCAAACATGGATAAGAAAGCAACCTGGGACCGCTTCTATGCTGAGAACAGAAACAGGACAACCACCTTCAAAAACTTTGAGTGGTTCTTCGGATTCGATGCCATCCGGGACTTCATCATGCCATCCTTGCAGACCAAGTCCCACGGAGACGCTCTGCTCCACGTCCTGGATATGGGCTGTGGCACTTCAGCTATAGGGCCCTGTATTTACAGACACTCCCATCTCCCGGTACGGGTCACGTGTGCGGACATCTCTCCCATAGCTGTGAGACAGATGCTGGAACACACCCAAGCCAATACCATCCAACCTCACAATGCTTCCTCTCAGCTTGAGTTTGTAGAGCTGGACTGCACGGAGCTTCAGACGCACTATGTCTGTAGAAGTGTGGACCTTATAGTGGATAAGGGCACCACAGACGCCTTGCTGAGGTCCAAGGAGGGCAAAGGGAAGGCTGGTCTGGTGCTGAAGCAGTGTTTGAAGGTGTTGCGTAGCTCAGGATCGCTGCTCCAGTTCTCCGATGAAGACCCTGATGCCAGGCTCCTGTGGCTGGAGACTGAGGCCCAGGAGGCGGGGGTGATGTCATCAGATGTTAGTGTGCAGGAGGTGGGGGAGCTCAGGGGAATGACTTACTACTGCTACCAGGTGACTCCTCGTCCTATTGTATAGCAGCTTTATACAATACAATAAATACATGGAGGGCCATAATATTGTATAAGTAAGTTATTAAACACAATTTTCAAAGAAGGGATGTTTGTTTTATTCTTCACACCTCATTGTTTAAATGTTTTTATTCGTCACGGCGGGTTACAAATACATTTACGCCAAATACATCCATGTATAATAATCTCAATCATTCAAACACGCACACACAGACAGTTCAGTTATGAGGCTGACCATGTGCACTCTAAGAGTTCATGTACTGAGACTTGGCAGTCCTCACTCTTCCATCTCTTGTATAGTATACTTTTTTGTATAACCTTTTCATGGTACTCTTTGCTATGACATTTTTGACATTTTCATGGCGTACAATAAAATGATTCTTATTGCATATTACACTATGACTTTTGCATTTGTTTATTTCATGGCATACTGTACTACTATGCCTTGTTAATTCATTCTTTTCTTTTATGTCATACTATATATATATGTCTTCTTCTTACGGCATTCTTATGAATCTTGGCATATTATGCAATTAACTTTGTGACATTTTAATGCAGTACGATACAATGATTTTCTTTAGATTTTTAAAAAGACATTGTTTTGGCATTAAAAAAAGCAATATACTATACTACAACTTATTGCCTTTATGGCCTACTTTTTTTTAATGAAAAGTTTTGTTATAAACATTATGTTCATCTTCATGATGTCTCAGACATTGTATACTGTATACAAAAAACTTGGTATAGAATGCAGAAGAACCTGAAAAAACGTCTTAGTATTATGTCAACAAAAAGGTTGTGGTCTGATTGTCGAAAAATCTAAAACAAAGCTATTTTGAAAAAAGTCATAAGTCAAAAGTATCCAAAAATAATGAAGAATAGTTTGTTAGAAATATTAAAAAAATGAAATATGTATATATATAACTTATGGTGTTTTTTTGCATATTTACGACATACTATACTATGTCTTTTTTTTCTTCTTTTTCGACATACTATGTTATGCTATTTTAGCATATTTTCGACATACTGTACTATGCCGTTTTTTTATAATTTCGACCTACTATACTGAGTTGTTTTTTCATATTTTCGACATATTGTACTATGCTTTTTCTTATGCATATTTTCGACATACTATACTATATATTTATTTCATATTTTTGACATACTATACTCTGCCTTTTTCTCATATTTTCGACATATTGTACTATGTCGTTTTTTCATATTTTCGACATACTATTATATATACTATTATACTAAGACGTTTGAATTACTGTCATTACCTTTTTCTTTTCTTTTCATTGCATACAATACTAATACTTTTTTGTGATTTTTTCAAGAGACAAATTGACATTTTACATGGCACAAAACTTTGTCTTTTATGATATTTTATTTAGCTAGTTCTTTTTTTCTATTATTGACATAAACACCAATAAATAATTGCATATTGAAGATAAAACAAAAATTAACCTCAGCATTTATTTAGTGTTTTAATATTTGAATACATTTTGATCTGATTAAAACATGAAGTAATACAAATTCCAAATGCACATCTCCAAATGTGTGGGAAGTAAAGTGCAACACTGCCCTCTTGTGTATGTATGAATATATAGTATCCATTATGAAAAATCAAGTCAAGGTTATGCTCTGTTTGTCTGCTGCTGTCAGGGAGGGTCCCAAAAGTGTTCCAGGAGCCATCCAGGCCCAGTTTGGCACACACATTACACCCTTATATGTACTGTATAATATATTGTCTTGTTTCCTGTGGTGGTATCTTGATGATTGTTGGGATTTAATAAATGCATCGCTAACCTGACATGTCTCCTCTCTTTTGTAGCATTTCCTGAGCCGGTTTGTGACAGTTAAGATTTAAAAGTAAAGAGTAAATGAGTATGTCATTTACTTCTTTTTAAGTATAAAGATCATCGCAAACATTTTCATCTTTAATTTACACAAGTGCGGAAGTGCTGACATACAGTAGGTCAACATCTCAGTTTGATTAGTACGGTTTATGATCAAATACATGCAGTATTAATAACATTCCCACCAGCCTCAGCTAATTATGTGCATGTTAGCCTTTTGCACTGCTGTGCCATACCTTCACTGGTTTCATGTAAATCAAAGTAGAACATACCTTAATAAACAGATTTCAAAAGCAAGCAAAAACAATCTGAACTATTTGATTTCTGATTTTCTATTACTGTTACATCACAAGTGACTTTTTAACTGTAGCCTATCATTTACTTCAACTGTTTTGTTGTCAATCACTTCTTACACTCAATCTAATGGTTATACACACATAACACAATAATTGTATTGATTCAAATGTAATTAATTGCGTCATGAATTCTACAAAAAGATATACCACACCAATGACTGCTACTCAAGTAAAGAATCAATAGAGTGCAAACAGTCATATTAGAGTATTCATCATCAAAGTGCATCACATATCTAAAACATAGTCTGTTTTAAAACAAGCTGAAGAAGGTCGCTGGATCCTCATCCTCCTCTTCCTCCAGCTGGGCGTCCTTACAGAAACGTGGAGGGATGAGTTCTTGAGGCTCCGCTAATCCAATGACGTTGTTGAAGAAGCTGAAGGTTAAACAAAATATGAAGATCCCATGATGAACTAGCAAACATAACAATGGATGCTACAATAATGTACTGAAATCAGAGAAGATGCAAAAATAAAAACCACAACATTTTATTTTTAGCAGTCGTTATGCTAAACTAAGCAAACCCTCTCCTGGATTGAGCTTTGTATTTTACAGAAGATATGTAGTTGTCTAAATAATCATTGCACGCTGCAAGAAAGAGAATAAGCTTATATGTCGTATGATCTTAAAACCTTGGTTGGTGATTGGCTAATGGTTACACAAGCCAAAACATCGTTATGACATCATAAAGTGGCCAAAATCTGATCAGCTCATTTTCAGAGAGGTTTTTATATAAATGGATCAGGACAAAAAGTGAGCGAATCTTTTTTCCTGAAACTTTCAGAATCTCTTTACACAGAGGGGACGCATGTTTATGTATAATTACTTGAAAAAGTGGATTTTGCATAATAGGTGACCTTTAAAACACCAGTTATAGCACTGACACACAGAAATGAAACTTGTCCATTACAATTTTAAAACCTGTGTTTGACAAGTCCAAGCACATTTGACAATGGTTGATAAAGTCTTGTATGGTATTCTTTCAAATAACTTTCGAAATGTGTGAGTTGTCTGTGCACTCACTGACCTGGTCACCATCCATCCACTTTTGCAGGTGTGAAACATGGTGGCGATAGGGACGCATCCAAACTCTGTGACGGTGCTAATGTACTTTGCTGCAGAAACAAAAGAAGATCACAAGTTAGCTGAGGCAGCAAAACCAGACCAGCAGGTTTCGTAAGCATCGACAGAAGAATCACAGAAAGTCATGTGCTACATACGCCGCATATCTGTCTAACTTCCTCTCTGTTAACTTCCTCTAAATCTACCTGTTGTATTCTTCATCTGCAGCTCTCCTTCCCATGAGTTGACCAGGACCCCCTGCCCTGGTCCCGAGGAGCTGCCCAGCACCACCTGTCCTAGCAGGTTAGCGCCCTCTGGGATGGCCAGTGGGTGAAAGTCTCTCTTCAGTGGCTTCTTGCAGCATGTTTTGTTCTTGTTATTTATCTTGTACATGACACCCTGGAGGACAGATTAGCAGTAAAGATGAATATGTGTTGCACACGGCATCTCTGAATGTAGATATAAATGTTATTGTCATTACCTTTTGGAAGAGTAGAAGTACATCGAAGTGGAAGCTCTTATTGTCATAACTTCCAAACTCTCTGAGGCGGATTCGCTGTCCCATTGCGTCATAGGTGTACCTGGCATAGGCCATCAGATTCTCTTTTTGGGTAGCCTTGGAAAAGGATACACATTTATTAGTAGAGCAAATTGGATCTTTTTTGAATGAAAGTAATCCAATGTTTTTTGCTTTTGTTTACACTATTGTGAAAGGAGATAAACACTTACCACAGAGAGTCTTCCAGTCAGCAGTTGTGGGGATTCTGTTAGAATAAAATACATGTTTTTATTACAAATGGATCATATACGTCAAAGCTTGCAAATATTTCTTCATAAAGCAAAAACAGAACAGCACATAACTGATCATCATCATTCACAGGGAAACTAGATAACAAAGTCACATCTTTTTGTTCTACTTACTGCATGGTTTGGGTCTCTGAGCCAGGCAGCTCGCTGACAGGAACACCAGCAGGATGAAGGCTCTCATGCTGTCCGATGGCAGAAACACTTTCCTCTGCACACAGATCCAGATATGCTGCTGCAACAGAGTTCACTTCCTTATAAACAAACAGGGGAGGCTCCCAGTCTGCATCCACTGCCAGGTTTTCTAACAGTCCTGAGAAGCTCACACACCTGCCCTCAGAATATATTTGAATGTTATTAATGTGCAGCATCCCCGTGACCCAGCTGGCACGAGGTTTATATCTAGCCTGAGATGTTTAATCACGACATGTAATTTCTTTCTCCCAATAGTTGCAATCTTTTATTGTAGTAGCACATTTTGTATGTAAACCTTTCAAATAGGACTTCCAGGGGACTATTTGGGTTCAATACTCCAGATTTTGTAGTATCTAAAATGAACATGTTTTGCACGGATGTTTATTTCTGAAATTATATAGTCATGTTTATACAGTTTCCTGTTTTCACTAGACACTTGGAAATGTATTATGAAAGATGTAGATTCTGTAAACGCTTGACATGTTGCCATGCACCACTTTTGCCCATTATAATGCTGTATGATACGTTGTAATTAAACATATAGACCAGTCGAAATGTGCTTTTTATACTTATATCTTTATTGATAGAAATCACAAGATTATACTTCAGAAAACATTCATAATTCCAGCCATAAATTCAAGACAGAAAATTGTAAAATAAAAAAAATTAAAGGTTTTCAAAAACCTGTCTACTGTCGGTTGCATCATTTTGTTGATGCAACATTTTTTCCAGGAGTAAATGTTATATGAAAAAGGCTATGATCTATTTGTTTCATTTTAAATTGTATGTTAAAGGTGTCCCTCAGTGCTTGTTATTGAACAAGCTGAAGAAGTCCACTGGCTCCTCATCACCAGCCTTCATCTCCGCGTGCTGGCAGTAGGCTGGAGGGTTAAGCTCGTCGGGGTCCAAAATCCCAATGACATTGTCAAAGTAGCTAGAAAACAGAAAGAAAGAGACACTTGGTGGGAAGCAAAACAATTGACATTTTACAAAAGTCCCTGCTAGGCCTTTCATCATCATCAAACTATCCTTTCTGCTATATGGTGATTTTAACAGTGTACTTACCTAGACAACACCCATCCAAGCTGGTCGGTGTGGAACACAGTACTGACAGGAATGCAACCAAATTCAGTGACTGTGGTCATGAACTTCCCTGTGAAGTTTGGAGAAGAAAAGGCATGTGTAAATAAAATATAAGGCAGTCAATGCAGCACAAACTATAATGTGCTGTCCTACCTGCTTTCTCGGGGAGATCCCACATCCAAGTGTTGACCAGGAGTCCTTGTCCAGGTCCGGAAGAGCTGCCTAAAATAACCTGGCCCAACAGAGACGCATCTTTTGGGATAACCATGGGTTGGAAGTCTCCCTTCAGAGGCCTTTTGTTGCATGTGCGGTTGTGCCTGTGAATCTCATACACGGTAGCCTGAGGAGGAGAGTTGTAGGGTAATGACTTTTAAACCTGACTAACATCTATGCACAATACAATCATTTAAATACCAACATTATTCATTCCTGGTGATGGACCGGGTACTTTAGTCTTATGGTTACTATTTTTATTTAATTTATTCTATAGGTTTTTATATTTTATTGTATCTATTCATTTTGCTGTCTGGGAGGGATCATTAGTTATTTATTTGTATTATCATACTTTGTACCTCCTTGTGTCTCTTAAACTGTTAAACTGTTATATTATGTTGTTATGCTGCATGTTTCCAAAGAGGTCTTACCGTCTAAGTGAATTCCTTGTTCTGTTTTAATTTGTAATGTGTGCCATGTTGTTAAAGCACTTTGAGCTGCACCTGGTGTATGAAGTGCTATACAAATAAAGCTTTATTATTATTATTATTATTATTACTGTAGCACTTGTTAGCAATGTTCCTTGTTCTTCTGAACCGTTAAATGAATACTGATGTTTATGTCATAGCGTTGGTCACCTCTCTGTAGAGCAGGAGAACGTCGTAGCTGAACGTCTTATTCTCATAGGCCCCCAGCTCCATGAGTCTGATCCGTTGTCCCATTGCATCGTACAGGTACTTGGCATAGAGCCACAGATTTCCCTTCTGTGTGGACTGGAGAAAGATCATGTGAGTTTCAAGATTCAAGGCTTTTATTGTCATTTGTACATAGCTACAGTGTATTTATGACAAAGAATATCTTAGGTCACGGGCTCCTCCAACAGTGCAACACAATAAAACAGATAAAAGAGTGCAAGTAAATAAAATAAAATAGAATATAATAGAAATAGTGCAAGAATAGTCTATATACAAGTCATTGGAATATGATATATTAGATCAATTGTTTCTTTGTTTTAAGTTGCAAACATATGAATGTTATGGCTGTTCTTTCAAAAGTGAGTCTACATCTTCCTATTTCACATGTTGTAATTGTGCTGAGTCATTGCTCAGGTTCTGCTTAATGATGCTCATACAAAACACAATAAACACTCACCATAGTGAGGGCTCCGGTGAGAAGAGGAGGACTTGCTGTGGAAAGAATTGTGAAATTATAACATTGCATTAAATAAAAATACTAAAGATTGAAACACATAAAGCTGGATCCCTGTGTAAGTCAGCAATAGGAAACATTGACACTACTATTTGACTGTTCAGAAAGCACAAGATATTATAAGAAATGAGATGAATCCAACAACCACAATCACTTTTTAGTTCACTTACAGCATGGTCGAGGATCCTGAGCCAGGCAGCCTGCAAGGAGGCACGACAGTATTACGAGTTTCATTCTTATGGCTTCCACTGTCTGTTGTCAGGCAGCCACAAACACTCTGGTGCTCGAGAGGGGATTCTCTTCCTTATAAACACAGTCCCTGAGGCTCCAGGAGAGAGACCCGCTTCCAGGTTTGATCATTAACCCTATAACTCTCATTAAAGTCAAACATCTGAGTGAAACACTTCTGCTATCAGGTTCCCATGAGATAAAAGATCATAAAAGCATTACATTACATGTTACTTGTTAGACGCTTTTATCCAAAGCGACTTACATACTCAATACTGTGGACAATCCCCACAGGAGCCATTTGGGGTGAAGTGTCTTGCCCAGGGACACAACGACATGCTGACTGCAGTGGGGTTTAAACCTGTGACCCCCTGATCCAAACACCGACACTCAACCCACTGCACCACACGCCTCCCATTACATCACCCTACTCATGACACTTCAACTCTATGATCACAGAGGACTGTTTACCTGTTATTATAACATGTTAAGATCACATTTAGCTTAATTACATGACAGGGTAAAGGGAAAAATATACACTACTTCTCAGGGAAATATGATAGTTCTGCTTTTTAGAAAGCACATACAGAGTGACTGTGAGATCCAGTGGGTCAGGGGTAAAGAATGTTGTTTGTGTTAACAAATGATGGAGGCTAATAAACCTTGGACTGGATTTTAACGGAGGGGAGGATCACGTGTGCTTATAGCTCCATAAATGACATCAGTGTCAGGTGATGTGAAGGTGTGTGAGCACCTGCATGTCACATGATGATCTTCCTCATTTGTTCAATCCTCAGAGCACATGATGTAAAGCATTACTTAATACATTCACAATCACTGTCCACATTTGAATTCATATTTATGTTGATCATACACAGGGTTGGAGGAAGGACTAAGATATTGTACTGTAAGTAAAAGTACACATACTAATGTTTTAAAATATTCCACTACAAGTACAAGTCCGGATTTCCAAATTGTACTTAAATTAACTTAAAGGTTAAAGTACAAAAGTATTTGCATCAATTTTACAAAACGTAAAAGTACTCATTCTGCACAATGGCCCATTTCAGAAGAATATGAAGTTCAGAAGTATTATCAGCTAAATTAACCTTAAATATCAAGAGTAAAAGTACTCGTTATGCAGAATGGATCTTCTCGTAGTATTATATTATTATGTTATTCTGTTTTTATACATGTGAGAGCATTTTAGTATTGTAGTTGGTCAATGTGGACCAAATTCAGATACTAGGAATACTGTGTAGATTAGTAGTACAGTACTGCATTATACCATATCAGCATATTATGCGTTTTTTTTAATACAGTAACTATGAGTGTTCAATAAATGTATTGAGTTAAAAGTACAATATTTGCCTCTGAAATGAAAGGGAGTAGAAGTATAAATTAGCATTACATGGAAATACTCAAGTAAGGTACAAATATGTCAAAAAAGTAATTAAGTCCAATACTTGAGTAAATGTATTTTCTGCAACTGATCTTACACAGTAAAAGTTGAGGCTAGTATTCAACCTGCAAACATGCAGTCTCCTTATTCTCAACTCTGGCTACACTTATCTGGGTGTGTTCTACTCTGATTCACACAGATAGGAAAAGTGCTGAGTCATGCTTTGTTATCATAATTGGAATTTTAAACAAATGTTTGTCATTGATGAGGAAACATTAAAAATATAACCTTGACTCAAAAGTGTGCCAAGGTCACGTTAGGTAAAGATTGTAACATAAGGGTTATGCAATCACAATCTCATAATGTTGAATACATACGGCTACATATATTTTAAAAGTCAAGTGTGTTGCATGTCGAAAAGGTTATTTTATATAAACTTTTGCAACAAAGCTGAATATGTAACATGAGGGTGTAGCCACTCCGGTTAGACAGCAATCCAGTCACATGGTGCAGAGACATTACCTCCAAAGCAAATCAAAAGTTTATTTATTGCATGATTTCTTTATTTGTGTCTAAATATTTGCGCTTTAGCAATAACTTGACAAATCCAAAAAGTGAGTCAGTGTAACCCTGTGGAAAATAATTACAAGAAATGCCCAAAATGTTAATTCTAAGGTATGATTTTATACAATAAACCACCTCAATGATAATTTAATGTAACTATAATCACAATTTTGTTGATTTGATCTCGTTGCTAAGTTGTACAGCTGTTTAAATAGTTATATTTTGGGGGGGGAAATTGGTTGTATGCGAGTCATATCTACAAGAAAGGTGTGCTAATGTATTATGTCTGAGGTTATTAGGACCAGGTAGATAAAAAAACATAATTAATATCAGTTGTATGATTGTAACTCGGTTCATTTTGGCTAAATCATGTGGCACCAAGTTTCAGTCACTTTATTAATGGCATGTTACTCATATTTAATAAGCCAAACAACTTATATATAAAACCTTCACCTGATTAGGTAATACAAAGGTCAATTTCTTGGCAACTCCTCAGAGTTTCTGAGGCAGAACATGTGGCTGTCTGAGCACTCGAGGTAGTTTGAGCAGCTGGCAAATGCCATTGCACTCTGGTCCATGTTGCTCCTCCAGGAAGTACCTGAGGCCTCTGTCAGCAAAATTGGAGGGTCCTTTGGGGGTCTTGGTGGAGTGAATCTGGGGGTCAGTGAGGTACGTCAGCCCTTTTCCATTGGCTGTCACCCACCCTGTGAAAAAAGAAAGCAGTTGTTCACAAACAGACGCTGCAAACGTTCCCATATATCAACAATACAATCATCTTCGTGAACACACACCTTGCAGGTCGACAACAACCTCCTGGCAGTCAGAGAACAGGTAGGTAAAATGTCCAAAAGCGAGGCCGTATTCTGTAGCCTGGAAACTCTTGTCCTTCTTCCCTGTGTTGTTGGTCAGTTTGACAAAGTCTCCAAGCATGAAGGGCTCCACTGTTACACAGCCCGCAATCTCATCTCCATTCAAAATCTATTTACAAGTGCAGAGAAGAGGAGGGAAATGATGTCTCATAAATGCAACTCATCAACATGGCTGTTCCTGCTTATTCCGATGGTCTTTTTATGTCTCATCAGGTCAATTAAATGCTGACCAGAGCAAGTCTTGCAACCATACTATAGGGTTTTTCATTTTAATAGAGGTCCAAAATGTCAATGGAAAGGATAAACCGTTAAAACTCACCCTTAAGCTATTATTTGAACCATAATTTCCCCCTTTTAACACCTCTAAGTAACATTCTATACCAAAAACCCACAGAACATTGGATCTACAGTCATCAGAGGGTTATATCTAGCTGTAAACTGACAACTGGAGGCTGTACTGGGGTATTACAGTGGATTTAAACTAAAAATGCTCCAAGGCTGCTGCATGCTGCAGGCTAATCTACTCTCTGCTGCCTCTGAAGTTATTTCTTCATGTAGGTGGTCCTATTAAAGGGGCATTATGAATGGAGTCATTTTAAATCTACTATCGGCCTCACCAGAAGTGCTTCGGAGGGAATGAAGAAGATCTGAGCCATGACTTCCTTGTCGTATAGACTCTTGTTGAATTCAGTCACATAGTACTGGGCTGTCATCTGTCTCTCCACATCTTTCAGGTGGAACTGGATCTCCTTTGGCTTCAGGTAATCTTTCCCAACATAACTAAGGACATAAATACAAAGTGAGACTTAAAGTTGTTATGTTCAGGCTGTGCTTCGATTGTGCAGCGGCTTACCTGCTTAACCTCTCCTCTTGGTGTAAGAACTGCACCCATATTGCTGTTCTCTGCTTGCCCTGTATCCCCATTGGCTCCCCGATGTAAACACAGGTCTCTCTGGCTGTCCACACTCCTGTGGCCTTGGAGAACTTCAAATGAAGGGCATCTAAAAGAGGTAATATTGAGAGATTAAAAGAACATTTCAACCACAAATGATCTTTAGTTGTATCCCTCCTCGGCACAGCACTAAGCGCCTCTGACAATCTTTTGTGCCTGTAGCCACTAGACTGCCCAATCAAGGGTTAACCTTGTAACCCATCAAAAATAACCGGCGCTGAATATTATTAATATTTGCACTGTACAGTATGCATACGACTTTCACCCGCACAGGTACCTGCACATTTAAATGTGTATATATTTAACCTGGTTCACATATCTGTATATATGTACATTCACCGGATCAGAGTTTAACTCTTGTAATTTCTGTATTGTTACTTCATTTTTTATTTTATTCTTATTATCCCTTTGTATATTCTCATGTGAACTCTCCCTGTTATTCTGTTGCTGTTATTACACCTGAATTGACCTATGGGGATCAATAAAGGTCCATCTTAGCTTATCTTATCAGTTACTCAAGCCGGTTTACATTCTTTAAGACTTTTTTATGATGAATTAAAGTACAGTGGGGCCATATTTTCAAACTCTGACACAATTTAGAAATGATATTCCAATCCTTATGTATCCAGGTGTAGGCCCACTACCTTCCAGACACATGCATTTCTGGATAATAGTTTTTAAAACACTTCCACATAAGCAGTTTCAGGCTTGTGCTGGTGGATACGTGCCTGTATGAAGTGTGCTAAATAGTAAGGTTTGGTGAAAAATAATGTGTTTAGGAAATTGTGAGCATATAACTGGATAATTGAAATAAATGAGTCACAATTAACTTCAATAAATCAAGATTTTCCTTCGTTTTTTGCATACTTAAAGGTCCCATGTCATGCTTTCTCGGTTATTACCCGTCCCCTTGTGTGTTATGAAGGTTTTTCTGCATGTAAACGGTCTGCAGAGTCACAAACCCTCAAAGTACACCCTGTAGCGAGTAAAACTCTAACACAGAAAAGACCTGTCTATGCTGCCCCAGAACGCCTCGTTGGAGATTTCTCTTTTTCCTCCTGGTACTAAGTGACGTAACGACGACCCAAATGGACCCATTGGTCCAAATGGACCAATCCGTGGAGCCGTTACGTTACGTCCGCGGAGCCGTTACGTTAAGTCCGTGGATTGGTCCAAATTGACCAATCCACGGACTTCCTCAAACACACACACTCAATCTTTCCTCAGCTGCAGCTCCGCCGATTTCTCTTCCCTGAGACGGCGGGACGCGGCGAGGCTGTGAGTCGGTGTGTGAGCACACACACAAACTCCCAGCCAGGCTGCAGGTGTGTGTGTGTGTGTTCGGGCTGGGTTTCGCTGTGTCTCGGTGTCTCGCAGACGGCCACTGGGCTCATAGGGAGGGGGGGGGGGCAGGAGCTCCAACAAGTCCCACAACCATGTAGGACAGAGAGTGAATACACATACTATACAGAGATGCTGTATGAGAAACCAATGTGAGTTTGGAAAATTGCACAATATAAATCTATTCTAGTAGACCACAACAATGGAATTATGATCAGTAGAAATGGCCATGACATGGGACCTTTAAGACGAGAAAACCAAGTTGTCTATTCAATCTAGCAATGGGTGTGTAATTGATATACAAACGGTTACTTTTTAGGTAATGTATTTGTTTAAGATAATGTTGAGTTACTACAACTTTCAATTCAAACTCACTGTGGGCAGATCTGTGTGTCTTGAGTTTGAATTGTGTCTTGTCACTGTGAAGTCTCTTCAGCAGACATGCATGGCAAACCCCGGCCAGTAGGGCTTGGTAATCCTCCTGCGACAACACATACTGACTCTGAGGGACACCAGCAGCTACAGGGCTGCTCCTCAGGCAGCTGAAGCACAGGGGGTTCTTCACCTGAGGAAGATCTGGAGCATCAGTGCTACTTTGGTGTCCACTTTGAGGATCACCCAGCATCTCAAATGAACTCTCTGTGGAGGTTTCACACTGTGCTGGGACAAACTGGGAAAGGTTAGAGTGTGGGTTTGCTATAGAGTCAACTTCGGTCTCCATTTTTGGGTCAACATTCAGGCTCTCCTCAGGGTGTTTGTGTGTGGGATCACGAGCCGAATCATTGCTTTCGGTATCAAGTGTTTCCAAAAGGAAGAAGCTCCCATCTGACCCTGGTGACTTGCTGCTTTGGCCAGTTCCTGTTTTTGACAGGCTGCTTGGCTGCGGTCTTCCGGTTGTGGGTGGGATCAGGTCAGCTGGAATTTTCTCCCATGACGACTGGGAACCGAAACTGTCACTAAGGGAGCTGGAGGTGGTTTTGATAGCTAGCTGGGATAAAGATTGCACTTCTCCTTCGTCTACTGACGGTTTAAGCATCACTCCACCATCACTCATCCAATCTTCCTCAGTGACCAGTGTCTCGATGCCAGCTTGTATCAACTCAAACTTCTCTGAATCACTACTTGCATTGGAGGAGGAAGTGGCAGGTATTTTGCAACTGACCTCTCGCTTCTTGTTTTCTGTAGAGATTTGTAGCACTTTGTCATCATCAGCCTCAGTGGTCAGACAGCTCTGATGGCGTGCATTTGCTTCACTTTCAACGGCATTACTTCCTTTTAAGCCACTGTTTCTGGGCCTGGGAGACCCTGAACTACTCAAGGAGAAGTTCTGCCACGAAGAGCCAAGGTTATCTGTGCTTCCTAGAGTGGTACACATGTCAGATTTTTGAGGTGGGGGCCCATCAGATGACCTTGAACCTCCCTGTTGTGGCTCCTCTCCTTTGGGTGGTACTTTGCAGGCCTCTGTGCCACATTCTGTACCAATGGTGGTCCCCAGTGCAGTTATACATAACGTCACCCCATCTTTGGTCCCCTTACAGTTTGTGTTGGTTGTGTCGCACAGTGACGCATGATACTTTTGGAATTTCTGCATCACCTTGGCGAAACCTTCCAGGGTGAAATCCACCGATGTGTCTTCGATGTTCCTGTAGCTGTCGGGAATAAAAGACCCCTTCTCTGAATTGTTGAAAGGATCCACTCGCAAGAGAAGCTTGACTTGGGCGACCAGCTGCATGATTTCACCACACAGACTGTCTTTATCTTGCGTTTCTGCGTTGGAGTAATCGTAAAAATGTGCTAAAGCTTTTTGGCAAGCTTCAGTTGCCTTCGCCACAACCAACGAAGGAGTTCCAAGCCATTTGTGAGTGACAGTGAGAGAATACGCAGCTTTGAGGAACGTGTGAAGCTCCTGTTTACTGGTGACCAGCTCCCCCTCTGCTTTGGTGAGCAGGCCTATTGAAAATGCCTCTTTAGCTTGCAGGAGGAAAGACTGCCTTTGAGTGGCAGGGCACTCCACTGAGAAACTGTACGATAACAAGCAGGTCCCTTGAGTGGCCTGAAAAATTAAACAGAGAGAAGCAGAAGACTAATTAAAGGTCCCCTATTATACTGTTTTTCATCAATATCTCAGATATATACAAAACATGTCTCTGAGGTGTTTGGCTCGAAGTACCAAACAGATAATTGTAGCATCCCATAAACCCCTCTGTTTCAGCCATGTTTCAAAAGTGCTGATTCTCTGTCTGTTACTTTAGATGAAAATAAGGAGCCACTCCCCACGCCCCTCTGAGAGATATTTGGTTAAAAAGAACTCAATAGCCGCGTTCACACCGCGTACTTTGCAGTACTTAGTGCCGGCACTTAGTGCCCCCCGGCACTTATTACCCCAGGGCACTAAGTACCAATCGCGTTCACACCGGAGTACTTTTCCCTGAGGGAAGATTACGCAAATGAGCCGCTTCTGCTTTGGGTTTACTGGCAGGCTGCAAACAACTTCACGGCGTATACTGCCGCCCGAAGTCCCCGGCCGGAAGTCCCCGGAGTTGGGGACTGGCTTCAGTAGAAGCTGCTGGGACTCCCAGCAGCTTCTACTGAAGCCTTCCGAGTTAATCGCCAGAACGCTGACACCTCCTCATCACTCCACCGCTCCCATGTTTTTTTTTGTGTTGCCATAAGTTATTCTCTCTCCGTTGGTGCGCGGGGCTAATGCTAATGCTAATAATGCTAATGCCACAAATACAATGACGGCTTCACAAAACTTTTCAGAGTTTTACGGTAGTACCACCTCTCTAGCAGGCACTACAAATGGGGGTAAAAGTTCCCGGCACTAAGTACTCTTTTTGGTGTGAACGCAACATAAGGGGTACTAACGGAACTAAAGGGGAAAAGTACGGGGAAAAGTACTCCGGTGTGAACGTGGCTATTGGTGCTCTAGGAGGAGATTCAGGTGGTAAGGTGTGGGGGGGGGGGCATAAAGTGGCCGAAATCTGATCAGCTCACGGGTTTTTATATAAATGGATCAGGACAAAAAGTGAGCGAATCTTTTTCCCTGAAACTTTCAGAATCTCTTTACACAGAGGGGACACATGTTGATGTATAAAAGACATGAAAAAGTGGATTTTGCATAATAGGTGACCTTTAAAGCAGCAAAATGAAAGATGTATACTGCTTCAGAAATGTGAGATACAAAAAAACTTTATTTTGATTGCAACAATTCACAACTCACCACATTGGTCAACACGTAGAGTGAAGTGTACTGACTGTAAACCACCGCCATCTTAGCTGCCTGAGCTGCTGATAGAAGACGATGACTCCTGTCCCCAAGTAAAGACTGCTCCAAACAATCAGACAAACACAGTTATACAGAGCCAACAATATAAAAAAACATTATAATATGAGTTAGACTTACTAAATCAATATCTGGGCTAGTCCTAAAAGCATTGAAGTCCTGCTCATTCATAGACACCAATATGTTGGCCAGTATACAGAGAGAGGCTCCAATTCCCTACAGAGACATGCAGAGCAAAGGTTTATAACAGCGTGGATATTATGCATGTTTACAAGTTCCAAATATGGCAACTATGATGGCAATAATGTGGCTGGGTCACCTTTTTATCAGGTTGAGGAAGTGCATAGTAGCCAACCAGAGAGGCCCAGATTAGCTCTGCTGCCTCGAGCCACAGGCCTGAAATGGAGCACAAATGGTTTGGATTATTGAAAGCTAATGTACTAACATGTTTTTCTCCTCAGTAAAGCAAAGCCATGAGGTTCTTTGACCAATAAAAACACACTATTTTTCAAGTTTGTTTAATTCATGGCTTTAATCCTAACGAGATTTCAGAATTTATTTTCTAATAAATGTAAGACTGTAATCTCAGAAATGTTGATTTTGTTCTCGGAAAATGATCCCCCGGCTCTGTAAGGATTATATATTTGACTGATGATTGCCATAATATGCTTTTGTTATAAGACAGGCTTGGAAACATCATACTATATCAGCATATGACATGACACAGAACCTCTCTATTGATGACATATCTTGGTACACATACAGTAGTAATATGTAGCTGCAAGTATGTTCAAAAAGGGTTCCTACACCTTTTTAAACATCAAATCCAAGGACTTTTAAATTTGAGACACGGAACAAGGTTACAGGACTATTCATTTTTCAACAGCTTGCAGGCTAGACAGAAGCTCATATTCGACATCAGTCACTAGTGCAGGCACAAGACCTAACACTTTTTCTAAGCAGGTGTTGCATGGATGAAAATGGATGCAGCAGAACCTAGCCTAATATGTTAAGCAAAATGAAAAAATCAGAAGCAATTTCTATTAATAAACATATTAATTAAATCCCATTTTATTGACCCAGGTCTTTTTACAAAACTTGTAAGGCCTTGCTTTTATCACATAAAATAAAAAAAATGTTAAAGATTTTAGAGACCTAAAGGATCCATGATTCATGACATCAGTATAAAAGGGGAGGGGTGAACTTTAGTCCTTCCTTCAGGAAAAATACCTTACCTAGCGTTCGCAAAATCATTCCCCGCACTTGAACACTCACAGCCTGCACAAGAGCCCTGTCACTTTCAGAGTGGTACACCCAACAACCTGTAAAAAGTATATTTGTTTGCATGTAAAAACAACATAATGCATAACTTAAGGCAATTAAAATAACAAAGCACCTACAGTACCTGTGGCCCCACTGTTGTTAATCAGACTGCTCAGTATGTATTCTGCCTTCTGTAGTTTGCCTGTATAGGAAGATGATTGTAACGTTTTCCTGATCTGTATAACACATCCAAACGCCTTTTCACATTTACATAAGTTTATATCAACACCTATTATTCGTACCAGAGTTTAAGTAGACCCTAGCCTGTCGTATGACCAGCTGGGGGGCCACAGGGGTGTCAGGGTGGTGTTTGTGGAGCAGCTTGGTGATCTTCAGCAGCCGACTCGACTCATCTGTCCAGTAGAGGAAGCGGTCGACTAAGAAGACCACCGATAGTGCCGTGCCTGCCTCCTGAGCCACGATGGAGGCCTTTAGAACAGCCTGGCAACACAGAAAACATATCAAGAGAATATGCTTCCAGCAACACCACATAAAAACATTATTCCCTGTGTTATTATTACCAGTAGCTGCGTCAGGTGAGTGCTGATGAGGTCACTGAGGTTGGTCTTGTCATCGGCACTAACTGACTGCTTGTATTGCCACTTTTCCGGCACAAATGGCCACTTCATTTCCATTGAATCCTGCAGGAGAGAGGCCAGCTCTGCACACAGCGAGTCTACAGGAAAGACGTGGGATTTCAAATATCCAAATAAGATAAAATAAGATAAGAGGTACTTTATTAATCCCAATTTGGGAAATGTTTGCGTTGCAGCAGCATCAAAAACAACAAAACAAAACAACTGTTGAGTAGAAATAAACAATAATAGAATTTAAACATCTCAAAATACAATTAAAGCAGCATTACAAAGTAGAAAATATGAGTGTAAAAATGATGTTCCAGTGTGCAGATTACCTTGCCTTAAATATTTGAAACTCCAGGTATAAATAAAATAGAGAAAGCACACATTTCTGTTCTTCCTTTGGTAGAATTATGTTAGAGAAGGAGGTTCTTTTAGCATTGTACTGCCACAGCTCGAGCTACTGAAAAGCATGAGCTAAACAAAAGGACATTCCCTCACAATCGTGCCAACTCCATGTGGGATTAACAGAGCATTTGTAAAGAATGCCCTCATTGTCAACACAAACCATATGTTGTGTGTATGTAAATGTAAATCCACCACCAAATCTCCTCACCCAAAACCCAATCTGACATCCTTCCAAACCCAAAATAAATTGAACAAACAGCACCATCTTGTGTCTGACCTCTGCAGAGACAGAAGTCCAGCCTCTCAGCCTCAGTGGAGTGGGTGGATAGTCGAGCTGCTCTGAGGCAATCCTCCAGTAAATCCCCCACCTCCTGGCTGTCCATTCTGGCACACAGATGCCTGGAATGAAATGGTTTCCTCCTTTCTTTGCCTCCTCAACTTGGTTCCTGTATTTGATTAAAAAAGGGTGATCCTCTGGAATAACCCGAGTGCTGTTGAAAAAGAATTGCACCATCAGTTCTGTTTGTACTCATGAATTATTCAACATGATGGATAACATAAATCCATCATAAAATAAATAAATAATTATACATCACATAAAAAAGCCAATTCCTGTTCCAGTCTACATGTCTGTCCCCAATTTAAATCCATATGATGTCTTATCATGTATGGTGATGTGCTTGAAACAATATGAAACCATAGTTTATGAGCCTGTCAGAGAGTTACAATGTGTTTACAATGAATGACATACTTTCAGGATATTAATAGAGTTATGATCATATACAACAATTTGTAAAAGTTATATTACGTGTGTGAATCTTATACAGTCTATGGTGTGAATGTAATATGTAGGTGCACTTTGAAACTAAAGGGACCATAAATGCAACACACTGTATGGTGTTAAGGATGTTATACACATAATGTAGTAGCCTACTTTCTTTAAAAACTAAATCGCAAACATAACAGAAGTGCCAACTTTTCGTCACTTTTAATATAATTATTACCCTCGAGTTACACTTTAAGATGAATCTTATGCTATGATACATTTTTATAAGCAATAAGTAAACAGTAAGCTACCGACCTAACGTCTGTGTTGTCCTCTTCTTCCTGGTAGGGCAGTACCATAAGGTGCTGCCTTCAATGCTGTGGGAAATATAGCAATTCAAATTTGCAATAGTCCTTGCACTATTTTACAAAATTCAGTATTCCAATTGTTATCAATTAAACAATTGTATGGTTTGCCATTTTAAAATGACACACTAGATGATATGTTTCGGATCTTCACAAACTTAATCCTGCATGACTTGAACGCAACATGTGCCGTTAAGAAGGAATAAAATCCCTCCTGAAGCAACAGGTGAATCCGTAAACTGTAGATTTGTCTCGGAAGATATTGTCTTTATGGCTGAGAGTTATTACAAAATGTGTGGGAATAAGTCATTTCAAACAAATAACATTGAGCATTTGTATAAAGTTTTTTTAAAGGTAGCCTATTTCTTTATCCCTTTTTTGCCTATGTATTTATTTCGTTTGAACCACTACTGATCGTTCTAATTACTATATTGTTAATTTACTTGAAAAAGCAGTAGCCTATATTGTAGGCCTATGTAAAAATAAACAAGTAGGCTATTAAATGTGGAACACACCAAAGCAGACAGTGCTTATGTTTTCTGTGTCATGCAGTGCAATAAACACATGTATTAATAACTATTCCACCACTGCAGCAGCTGCCTGTCTGTGGTTTACTGAAATAAAATCCAACCAAATGCACGTGAACACTCGATAATTAGTTTTAAATGTGGGCCTTTGTTTATGAAGACAGCACATCTGGAGGTGGAGGCATGTTTACGATGGAAAAGACGCATTGGTATCGCCAACAGAATGATGGATCATTATGGTGTGTAATGATGCAGCTCGTACACAACAAGCATGTGCAGACTGTGGTGTTGCTGTGCTACTACCAATAGGCGGGACTGTGGCTCTGCAGTGAGTGTGATCGCGGCACAGCTGGATGCACGAGCAGAAGGCTGGCACGCGGTCCAGCTGCGACCAGATGACTGAGCTCAGCTGCTTTCTGAAGCACCAACACGCACCACATCCATAACTTGTTTCCGAGCGCGCCGGGAGATGACTTGTGCGCACTGGAGGGTTAATGTATCGTAACAATACCCGCAGAGCCCATTCAGAAAACTCCGGAGAGGGATCCGCGTGCATCTCTCTTCTGATGACTTCTTTTTTTGTTTCGATCCTCGGCGCGTCCCTCCTCAGGACTTGGTGTTCCCAATCCGCAGCCAAACAGGCGTTTTGAGTTCGGTTTGGTGCTGGTGATGTAACGCTTCTCATCTCACTACACAACCTATCACTGCCGCCTTCCTCTCACAGAGCATGGGACGCTTCAAACTCTAAAAGGTAAGAAATGTGGCTTAACGTGCATGTTGGAGGCAACTTGGAGACATTTTTACACATGGCGGGTTCCAGATGTCACATTATTACTTTACTAAAGAAACCCGCCACAATGAAAGTATTTTTGTTCAAGTCCTTGAACACTTGGCTACATCCGTTTGAATCTGTCCTGTTGTTTTGCAACAGTAGAAGAGATTGTGTGAGGTGTTCTTCTTGCACCATCAGCCACAGCAATGTCAGGATTTCATGTTGACTCATTAGGGAGTCATGGATGAGTTTTATACTTTGCTACACGTCTGAGCACGAGAGCTTTGAGTACTTTGTTTCAGACATCCCACAGCAGTCAATTATATCTTGTAGTTGAACTGATTGAAATAACAGGTCAGGAGGAACAGAGTAAAGGAGGATGGAGGAACGCCTATTTCTAAAATTAGACAGAGGGAGAGGCAGGGTCTTCATCCTGCTGTGACTGGGGTGAGAATGATGGTAAACAAAAGTCTGTTTGAATGCAAAGTTATTGCATTTGCGCGGATGGGAGGATAACTTGTTGAGTTATCCATCAAATGGCAAACTTTCAAGACCCCCGGCAGCTAATAACCATTAAACACCTGTGTGCTAATGAGATATCACCCTGAGTGAAGAATAACTTTGTAAGCCACATCCCATCTCGTTGTGAGCCAGCCTAATTTAAACAAGAGAAAGGCCAGACTCCATCCAGCCCTCATTACCTGCTCCTGTCTGACAGCAGAGACTCAAGGTGATTTTCCCACCGCCCTCGAAGCAGCAGGGATTAGGAGGCATCTTTGACTGCCCGAGCGGCTGATTACTTGCGCTGCCATGTCTTCACTTATCCTTCACCCTTGCCTTATCCTCCACTCATGTTTTGATTTCGGAGCGCTGGGATTTGACTTGTAAGCTGAGCCTGGCTGGACATCTGGGAGTCCTGTAGTTTTGTCACATCCTTATAGGAGGCACAAAATGTGACTGATCTGGCTGCTGCTGCATGTTGTTGATTAACGCTCCTATTTTGAATGTTGGACAACCTTGCTTTGTGTGCACTTGCTCATAGAGATCAGCATCTGATTCACAGAATGCAAATGAGGCAGCTACCAATGTGAGCCATCATATATGACAGACTGATCTTTCCCTACAGCACAAATCAATGAAACAATTTGTACAAAGTCCATTTCATCAGACTGGGGCTTATTTGATCAGCGTTTGCCTCAAAATAACCCGTGGCCTATGATGTCACGCAGTGAAGTGGTATTTCAATTGTAAAGATTTGGCGCTTTAGAAAAAAGGAAGGATTTCATGGATTAAAAGCGCCTTCAGCATAGTGGTAAAAGCAAATAGAAGAGATTAAAAAAATAGCCCCTGCATCTCCATTTCTCCTTTCTCTCCTCTTCTGCCGCAGTGCTATTACTTCAGGCCTCTGGAGCGGCCACCCTTGATATTTAGCTTTACTTCCAGCCATCGCAACCTGCAGCAGTGTAAAATCATAAAAGCCCAACATAATTGGATACATTGTGCATGGCTGCTGCTTTATGCCAAACGACCAGCAGCAACAAATCTGGGAGGAAGGAACTAAATGCAAGCAGACCAGGGGGATATTGTGAGGAAGAAGGAAACACAACACAATCAACACAGGAGAGAAATAAGAAAGAAAGCAGACAGGAGCAGCGGATAGCCAGACACCTGCTGGATGTTGGCCATCATTCGGGTGTACGGTCCAGTGCACTCTGCATCTGTCCACTGCCTTTCTTACCTCCCTTTTCATAAGCTCATCCTATCTATTCCATCACAGTCCATGTGCTGCATCCTGATTACCTGTATCCACCTTTTTCTCAAATGGACGTGCATGCAAACCACACACATTTTGTAATCAAGCTCAAACATGTTTCACATCGAGGGCAAGTTGGCACCGGAAAATGTGCACGTTCTTCTTCAAAGTAGTCGTTGGAAGTGTTTTTTATACTGATTTTAAACACCAGAAAAGATAATTTAAAGACACGAGCTGGAATTAAATTGAGTTGGACTCCCACTCACTTGGCAGGACAGCAGAGATTGTAAAACTAAACGATCTAATTGTGAGTGGATGTGACATATCTTAATGCCAACAGGGTCACTTTTGAAGTTCCCCCCATAGTTCAGTCCATGAAAATAGTCATCTCTACTCTGTGTCTGTCCCTATGGGATCTTTTTGTTCCTCCGTCCCCTCTTCAGCTCCCATGAAAGGGCACAGACCCTGTAAAATGTCAGCATGTCATTGCACTCTGCTCCCCTCACCTTTAAAGGCATGGTTAGAATGCAAAAGTCTGCAGCAGAAGAGCGGGAGACACAGGAGGGGAAGGTAGCTGTTGAGGGAAAGTGTTGGAGCTGAAGAGCTATAAATCACGCTGTGGCTGGAATTAAATCAGTCAGCGGGAGCACAGTAGTTCATGGACTGGTGGAGGGTGGATCGAAACTCACAGGCTGCTGTATTTAAGATAGTGTGGGACTAACTAAAGGTAGTGAATTAGCAGTGATGGATAATGTTTTAGTGTAGTTGCTGGAAGTAGTACTCTTATCTTATACTTAAGTTAAAGTACAAGAGTGTAGGTATACTCTGTTACAAATAAAAGTCCTGCATTGCAAGTGTTACTCAAGTAAAAGTACAAAAGTATTAGTATCGAAATATACTTAAAGTACTGAAAGTAAAAGTACTCACTATGCAGATTGGTCCATTTTCAAATAATATATATCATGTTTTGATTGTAGTTATTTATGTTTTAATGGGTTTATCAAAGCTGGTAAAGGTGCAGCTAGTTTGAATGACTTTGTATACTGCAGGGTAGCTTGTGAATTTACTCCAGGTGGAACTAAAGTCTGATTTAAGTGCTGATTATATTTCATATAAAGTAACTAAAGGTATAAAATACATGTAGTGGAGTAAAAGTACACTATTTACCTTTGAATGTTATTTGTGGTATAAAAACAAAGTAGCAAACAAGTCAAATACTCAAGTAAAGTATACGTATCTCTTAATTTGACTTAAGTACAGTTCTTGAGTAAATGTACTTAGTAACTTTACACCACTGCTTGTTTCATTCTGTGCTGATCAGACGTGTCTCACTTTCAGAAACAGAAATATTTGTATGACACCTGTGGAATACCTGCTTTTCAAAAAACACATTCATTTCCTTACTTTTGTTTTCACACAGTTTGCAGTCTGAGATCTCTCACGCTCTTTATTTGAATGTGCAGAATGAATGGTTTATTTAGACGGCAGGAAATTGTGGGGTGTGTGGTCTACTCAGGGATGCAGGCTGTTTTAGGGAGGAATACATCAACAGGAACTAGCCAGGGCTAACGCTGTTTAAAAAAGCCTGCAGGGGTAATGAGGAGGCTGGCTGGGTGAGACTCCTGGTACACACACACACACACACACACACACACACACACACACACGCACACACACACACACACACACACACACACACACACACACACACACACACACACACACACACACACACACACACACACACACACACACACACACACACAGAGAACATGAAAACAGAATGACTGTTGCATGAAACCACTGTATAGCCTAGTGAGCACAACTCTGACAGGCAGGAGGAAATGAAGCAGATAAACACGGCAAAGAACAAATGAGTCTCCAGATGCATGTGCTGTATATCGTGGGATTGGATTCAGCATCACTTGGTGTACCCATCT